AGCAATGACTGATGCGCAGGAGGCGGCTGCACAACCTGATGAGTCTCCCCTTGCCCAGAGGCACTCGGCACCTGCCATCCCAGCCTGGCACCTGGAAATTTATCAAACATCCTCAGTTAGTTCAGCTAAAAAAGCAACTTACAACCTCAACTCAAAGCCTTTAGTTTGGGAGGTCCCAAGGCAACAACTCGACCGTGGCAATCCACCAGCCTTTCAGGCGCCTGACTGCCTGGCTAGGTCCAAGTTTGAAAGCGTGATGCTGGAGCGAATGTGAGCCGTCAGGACAGCTCTGCCTCGGAATCGCAGGGTTCACCAGCGTCTGAGGTGCACAGTCAACCGAGCCTGTCAAACAGAACCGAAGTTGTAGCAATACTTGTCCATGGACATCTGTCAGGCAAGATCTCCGCGTCGACGCTCCCCGCCAAAGGCCGGGCACTTGTGAGAATAGTGGGTGAGCCTGGGCAGTTGTGAGGGACATAAGGGTGCAAGGCAGGGTGCAGGCTTGCTGGCTGTGAAAACTCAGAATTCTTCGTGCTCTCCGTGTTGCGGCCTTTATGGCTTCATGGCTGTGCAAGGGGTCCAGCTCAAGCCGGTACAACACCTCCTGAGAGCGCTTTTCTCAGCCCAACCTGATAGCCTGATAGCCTTCTTCGGTGGATCTGCAGAGACTGCAAAGCGTATACTTTAGGGTTTAGGGCAAAGTGTAGTCTCTCACAGCTCCGCTGGCCAGAACCAACTGGCGTGTGCCGGCAGACATCGGCAGACATTGACCACTAATACGGTGGCATTGGCCGGCGGCCACGCAGTCATGTAGGTTTTAGCCTCTCTTTCGAGCAGCCGTTCGACAGTCACCTTCTGCAACCTGCAGCTCTCAAGTCTTGGAACCCGCAAGCCCAAAGACGCAATGACTACAGCTGTGTGGGTGAGTCCCCACCCCATTTTCCCACGGCTTCCACTCTCACTGCAGCGCTGTCCGCGTGATTGTGTGATCCAGCCGTAAGCAAGAGTAACCAAAGTCCGCTTCAGTGACCGCATGACCTACTTGGAGAGCACGGTTGGTGACGGTACAAAGTCCGGTTGTGGCTATAGCACGCTAGGCCGCTTGGCCAGGTCCTAACGAGTCGCAGTCATGCACCCGGCTTTATCCTTGCTGCAACGGCTCAAACGCTGCATGCGGGCGGCAGAGTCTTGAGTGCCGCTTGGTGGCAAGTGGTCGAGTCCTTCTTCCATGTGCTTCTAGCTTCATGCAAGCTTCAGAGCTGCAGGTCAGGCCCACTCCGGCGATCACATCCCGGATGCTGAAGTGAAGGTACTCAGCAGAAACGGCCCTTACGAAGTTGCCTAAAGAGTGAGGTTAGTTGGTTTTTCTGTCGGAACACCAACGCACACAGCTGGTCTTTCGAATCTTGGAGTTTGATCGCCGCTTTCCATGGCCCGAGTGCATGGCCAATCTGTTCTCCGTGCTGCTAGCTTCTGAGCTTTTGAGCTTCTGAGCTTCTGAGCTTCTGAGCTTCTGAGTTGCCTGCTTTTGCCATATGCGGAGTGCGGTAGAGCATGTGCGCCTAAGCGAGGCTAGCATCAGCCTCATGCTTGTTACACGGCAGCCATGGCCACGCAGCTTGGCCTGACACACTCGGTACTGGTAGGAGACAGGTCGGATAGGTGTTGTGGTGAGTTTCGCAACAGCAGGTCATAAGACGTGAGACTTCTCCCCAGCTGCAGGGAAGCAGGCATTGCGAGCTGAAGAGTGAACCGGGAGATTGCAGTAGACACGGTAGACATGGCACAAGCGACTTGTGGCAGGCCTGGCGAAGCCGAGCTTGCTGAGCAGGGAGCGCAAGGACACCAAGCCACGACTCTACAGTTCTATGTGCCGAGCCCTCGCAGCAACTTTCAAAATGGTTCGCAGCTTCAGGCACCGGAAGCCAACTTTGGGTTTGATTCTGCAAATTGCAGGACCATGGAGGCTGGCTTGCGGATACCAGGTGATGCCTCGTAGGCCAGAGGCCATACACAACTCAGGACGCCATGCGATAAGACGCTGGCCTTTGGGGGCATACCTCTACGGCTTTGATTGAGGAGCATTGCTCACTCTCTTCTTCAACTGGATTCCGAAGCCGTGCGTGGCACCTCTGCTGCTGCGATGGAAGTGGCCTTAGCGCACATGAACAGCCCGGCAGAGGAGCAGAGCATATCGGAGCATGGTGCCAAAAAGATTTTCGAAGGTACGGTTCCTACTTTCCGCATATCATCACAGCTGCTGCTCCTTGTCTGCAGTACTTGTCTGAGACAGGCTTCTAGCTTGAAATGCACACAGTCTTATGGCTTTAAGAGTCCGGAACCTACTTACTGAAGCGTCGCCTGCTGTTACTGCTGTGAGAGGCGAAAGTTCTTATGAGTCGCATGTGCTCCTGCATTCTTTCCTTGTGCAAGGTGAGCCCACCGCCTGAGCCCAGTCCGGTGCCGCATGTGCGTTGCCCAAGCCGCGGCACTTCTCACTTGCACCTATGCCGCTCATTTGCACGCGGGTGCGTGTGACAGTGTGTACAGAGTGTAGCTGTGTCTCACAGTATCTCTGCCCTCGCCCGAGGCTATGCTAAAGCTACGACCTGAGCTGACTGACGAACATGACTTCGTAGTTCGATGTTTGCAGAACATGTTCACGCGGATCATCGTGCACGGGAAGGTGTTGCGACGGCACAAAGGCACGGCTGCTGTTGTCAAGTTGCTCTGTTTGACGGGTTGCTGTCCGCCAGGATCCTTTTTCAAACTGCCAGGCTTCTCAAACTATCTCTTTCTGGATTCAGAGGTGCTCATGCGACCTCATCGTGTTATTGGCTCCTCGGGGCACTGGCGTCATAGTGCCTAAAAAGCTGTATGGCCAGCTGTGCTGGTTGTGGGGCTGCGCAGGGGCTCCCTGACTATCCAAGGCTTTCCCATGGATCAGCCATGGATGCTCGCATGTGGAGGCTACACACCCAGGATCGCAAGTAGCAGCCCCGTTTTTGCACTTGTTGGAAAATCACAAGGGCAATGCTCATACAGAGGACTTTCCAGAAAAGTCTCGCCTTGACTGGACCCAGCCTGAGCACACAAATGGCTGCCAATGGAACCAAGGCTCGACAAACGCTCAGAGCATTAACTCTGCTGTTTGCATCATTGGCCATGTTCCCAGCACAAAGACCAACGGAGGAACTCCGGCTGTGGCAGGGCACAAACGTCGTCCCCCTGAGTTGTCTGTGGGTTTCTGCGGGTTTGCTGGTTTGTTTAAGCGCAGGATCTTACTGCAAGTCTTTGAGCTGAGAACCTGATCGACTGGTGGCAGCACTCGGCCACACAGAACTTGAAGAAGTGCCTCGCTGACATTGGTCCGGCTACGCCTGCAACCTTCCCCTGTACTCCCGAGTGATTGAGCCAAAGATTGTTCTCAGGATCTACTTGAATTCGGCTGGTGGGGCCTGGGTTCCACAGCCGGCGGTTCTTGGCGTCGCCAACATTCCTGCGCACATGAGCAAATACTATGCCCTGGCCCAATGCAGCCTTCCGCCCTCGAAGCGCTCATGTGCTTGCATCATCGTCGGCAGAGGTCGCCTTTGCAGAATCCATGACGGATGTCCATAGCCGCGGGCTGAGAAGCCACACTGTCCACCCATACATATCCATGAATCCATGCGCCGGATCGCCCACGACCTATGTTTTGCTCTGTTCTGAGGCAAGCTGGCCCATGCCGTGATACATGACGTGCAGCGAGCTGAGCCTGGAAGCCGCGGGCACGAGACTACTGTGTAGGCTTTCTCCTGTATCTGCCCCCGGAGGTGGGAGATGCTGCCCGGCATAACGAAACACACGTTCTTGATCGGGGACCAGGAGGCCTTCTGGGCACAAAGCCTTGCCTCATCTGACAGACTGCCTCTCGGCTGTCCACTGCCTTTTTCGCTATAAGGCCAAGCCGCTGCCAGTTCGACGGGGTCACCAATTAACGACAGCTGAGGTACGAGGATCATATCGCAGCCTTTGTTCATCCAGTCCACCTTTCAGCGGCTCGGCCTGCGAAACTGGAAAGGTGTGTGTTCGCGACCAGTAAGTAAGCTAGAGTCGCATCATCAAGGGTCCGTGGCATCAGCAGATGCTGGACAAGTACCTGGAGGGGCAACCTGGCATCGAAGTTACAAGAAGCCGTGTCGGAGCATTCGCCAAGACAATTATGCAAGGCATGTTGACGAGTTCTGACAAATTACATGCTGATCCATTGCGCCGGTCTGAATGGAAAAGAGCCGGCCAACTTGTTGTGAGAGAGGGGAGCGCAAGGGCAACTTGCGCCCTCATTGCAGCTGCTGAACTGCTGTCCCGGTGAAATGCACGTTTGCTAGGGCAGCGGCTGCTCAGGGAGCCTTGACAAGTGCTTCGCTGCATGATCGCACTGTGTATCAAATTGGTCCCTTCCTGACCGGTGAGAGTTTTCAGAGTTTCACATCCGGGCAGCAAACATCGGGCGAATCGTGCCGCTTTGCTGCACTTAGCTGATGTGCACGTTGCCACATGCCTGTAGTGCATTTCGGGAAAGCAAGGGGAAGGTGTCACCGCCGTTGCGCGTTGAAAAGCTCTCGAGGGATGTGACAATCAAGGCTACAAGAGCCGGCCTGTTTCTACTTCCCGCCAGCCGAAGACCTTTGGAGCTTGCCGGAACCCAAGTGCCCCTTGGCCCTTGCTGGAAGCTCCTCCTACAATTAGCCCAGTCCGCAGGCTAATTCATTGAGCTCTTTGAGCTTCCTCAATTTCGCGTGAGCTTTGCCGGTCGCCGAGCCAGCAGAAGCACAGATTGGCAGATGTTGACAGCTTCTCTGAACTTGTTCGACAACGCATGAGACAAGGCCTGTAGTCGACGCTTCAGCGAAGCCCTTGGAGGCAGCTAAGGAGACCCCGAAGTTTTGCGTGCCTTTGCCCATCCCTGACGGATTGGACTTGCCAGGCCACTCTCCGAGACTGCAGCTCCTGGAGCCATGCTAGCCGTTGTCTTCCTACTGGAGGCTTTAGAAAGCTAGAAACCTTTAGACCCATTTTCGACCCTCCCCGGGCCAGCCAGAAGATGTCAGCAAGCAGGTAATTCGATTTGCATTGGCTGGCGATGCAGTCGTCAGCTTTAGCTCCGCCACATCCGCGGGCCTCATTCGACCAGGCGTTGCCAAAGGGCTGAGATAAAGCAACGTTAAAAAACGCCAAGAAGCGTAATCTTAAAGCATGGTACACTGCGCTGTGGAGATGAATCAAGCTCCAGATGGCCCCCAACAAGAGTGTCTCCAGGAACGAGTTTCAAGATCGAGGTCTTCGGAAGCAATTTCGATGAGATCAACGTGGCCCAACTGAGTTCACGACATGTTGACCCGTTGCAGTCAAATATTTGAACGGAGCAGGTACTAATTGACTTTGCATGTCAGGACAAGATCCTGTTAGTTCCGAATGGAGTCACGTGCGGAGATCCGGCAACGCCTCCGCGAGGCCCTGGCCATGAGCTCATGGGCACAGGTGCCGAAAGCAAGTGTCTCAGGTAAGTATTCCAGCGTAACAGACTACTACAGCCTGGTCTGTGATGGGCAAAGCAGTGCTGAAAGCTCAGAGGGCTTTGCGGACTTGCGTGCCATCCGAGATGCCCTAGTATTCGTCATTACATCCTGCAGGCCGCTGGGCGCTTGGTATGTGAAGATTTGTCTGTGTACGAGGTTGGTGGTGAGAAGTCTCGGCTGCTCGGTGTCTTCTCCTTTTCTTACGACGTTTGCGACGGTCAAGCTGGACTTGGGCAGGCTGGCACCTATACCATCTGCGTCTGCGACGCTTCAGCATTACACCGACCAGGGCCACCCAGTGCAGGCTGGGCGCGCAGACTGTCAGGCATGAATGATTGAAGGGCAGAACCAACTCGGATCCATCCAGACGAGTTTCTGAGTGCAGCAAGTCTTCATCCCCAGAAGGACCTGCCCCCGCCGAGAACGCGACTGACTCGGCCAATGACACTGGTCCTACTACGACAACCATGACCTTCACATCGTTGGGGCCTGAGAAGTGGGCTCTGAGTGGGCTCGTTGGATCTGGTTACCGCCTTTCGGCATTCTTCTGCGAGGACCGTAACATCATCAGCCTGTATCACTGCGGAGAGATTTTGGCTAGGAGGTGTGTCTTGGCTACTTAGAGCTGTCGCCACCCAGTTGAGACGCAAGGCAGCCAATGTGCTTGCTGAGATGCCAAGGATAGCACGGGGACGGTGACCGTCAATGGCCCGAGGAGAATAGAACTGCTTCGGTGCACCTGTCCATAGATGTAGAGTGGCAGCACTGCGTGGAGGAATCAGGGTACGCTGATGGAGCGGGCCGGAACGCCTTTCAGAGTGATCATTTCGGGCAGCAGGCGCGATTGAAAGGCTTGCTTCGTGTGGTTGCTCAGAGTCCAGTGCGTGCTTGCTGGCCGCCAGTTTAAGCAGCAGAGATCGCATCCGAATCGTGGATGGCTCGACCGACTGCTATGCCGGGCACCTGGAAAATCAGTGGCAAAGCCACGCGCGATCACGCAATAGTCCTACGGTTTGAGTCGAAGACTGTCGACCGTTGACCGTCATGACTTATTACAGCTTGTCCCGCATGGTTGTACAAAGATCATGGGGCCACAGTGCGGGCTTCCACCCGATTGCACTGAGGACATCGCTGCATCCAAGCCGATGCACCCTGCAGCACACACCTCGGTCAATGCTCCAGTTCACCACGAAAAGCTAGTAAGCAAGAATTGCATGGGAATGGCCTAGCCTAGACTCCGGCACTTGTGCCCGCAAGCTAGCACGCGAACTAGCGAAGCGAGTGGCTCAAAGCAAACGACGCCTCATGGGTTCCGGAGGCCCTTGCCCTCAGGTGGCCACCGACTTTCCCTACACAGACCCTTCGGGGCAGAGAGACTCTGGCTTCGACACGAATGAGCGCCTTGACCTTTCTCGACTCGTTCATAACCATCAGGATTGGTGTTCTCAGATTAACAGTTAGTTGTGGGGAGTTAATTATGCTCTTGGCTCAGGCTGTGGATCTTACATCCGCACGATGTGCAGAGTTCGGGCATAAAGTAAGGCATACGCTCAGAGTCCTTCCGAAGTCTTGCGAGCGTGCCGTTGCCTGCCCACACCTCGTCTTTGTATAACTTTGCTTGTTGTACATTGTCACCTCGTCTTTGGCAAAACGTCGGATGCGATCTGAAACCTCCAGCCCAAACTAAGCTCCAAACGCAGCTCATAGCCGGACATCTTACTTCAAGTCCAAATCTAGACGCATTCCGGTTAACAAGAACCAGCACCATTCTGAACTTGTGATCCAATCCCTCGTCGAGGGTTTCGTCCGGAGCTCGCGAGACACCTGTCGAATGCTATCGGGTCGCTGGCACGGCTTTGGGAAGGTTTAGGCTCTCCAGGCCTCGGTTTCGTTCGATCTGGCTTGGCTTGGCCTGATCGGAAGTAGTGGAGTTTTCGCACGGGCAGCCTGCAACGCGAGCTTGCCTCGGAGAATGCGCCGTCCGCCGTTCTGGCCCCAAACTCACTTTGTCGCAGTTGGTCGAACTGAGCTTGACCGAGCTCATGGCTGCACACCTGGCCTGTTTTTCTGTGCCGCTTAGGTGGCGTCGCTCCATCGGTTCATGCCCATTTTTGACTTGACATGTCAAGTCGATGTGCTTCATGGCTCGGTCGGGCTTAGCATGGCTCGCGACATTGCCTTCGCACTGTGGACATCCGGGCTCTGATCTGGTGCCAGCCGGGATGGCCGACTGAATTAGCAGGTAGCAATGGGCGAGTACGTTTCTTTCGGCGACATGCAGATCAATGCCCTCTCTTGCCGTTGGCAAGGATGCTGTGCGTGCTAGACTGTGTGAGAGAGGGGCAGCACCGCGCCAGAATCAGTGGTTCCGATTTGCAGCAGCTGCCGCTGCGCCGGCATGCTGCGAACTGCCACGTGCACACTCCAAAACATCTCGGGTTTGTCGACCCAGCAATCGTTCTCGCATGTGAGAAACCCACATCAGCCTTTGTGCGCAAACCTTTTCCAGCACGCGCTACTGTCTAAGGTGCGGCGCTTGAGACCAGCATACTGCGACAGTAAACCTGTGCAGCATGTGACCACATAGCAGAACTCCAGGCACCGAATCAGGCTTGCAGCAATTCTTGCAGCCGAGCGAATGTGCACGTTGACGCGCGCCCGACGAGGTCATGCGAGGTCTGCAGGTCTGCAAAGCAGCCCTGGCACAATCACAAGAACATCCCCCGCAATGATGCAGGGAACAGTGGAAAACGGTCTAAGTCTAAGAGACTAGCCGAGGCATTCTCTAAGGTGGTTTCCGCATAGCCTCTGTAGTCTTGCCATGCGGAGTGGCCTCTCCGCCCCCCCCCCCCGCCCCGCATGGCAGAAACGCACGTTTTCATGATGTTATGTGGTGAGAAGAGTTAGCCATACTACTGCAAGTAGCTAGCAATGTTAACTTGGAGGCAGGTACCGTAAACACATTGTGTTGTGCTGATGGCAAAAGCCGGAAGTAGCATCCAAGGATGTGGGAAAACATCGGCATCACGACTCCTGGCACCTACCAAGCCTGGAGCTCATGCAAGATTCTTGCAAAATTTGACGGATTTTCGCAGCTTTTGTCACTCCATCGCGCCTGGACAGGTGTGCTGGTGTTCCGCTGGCGGGACGATCTCGGGTACGTGCAGCAATGACCAGGAATTCACAACAAATGTCGGGTCCATGGCAGTCGGCACTCGTTGGCTGAGACATGCCTTCTCAACAGTGCAGTTAGTTGTGTGGCATCCTGGTATCAAGGTTGCAACCCTCGAAGTGGGTGGGCCTACAGCAGGCGTCATCCAGGCCGTGTGAAGGAAGCATAGGGAAGCTTCATTCACTGCCCACCTGGGGCAGCGAACAGAGTACCAGCGGTGAATGTCTGTTCTTGCCACGTGCAGTCCTTCGAGTGCATCACTGGCGTTTCGCCCTTTGAGTGCCCGAGTCGCCACTTGCCTCGGAAAAGCCACGCGCTGCGCGACTCAGGTTGCCTGCACTCTTCCGATTACAGGAGCAGGCTTTGCAATGCTCTGCAATGCTTTGCAATGCTTTGCACAGGCAGATTTGTAATATTTGGAAGTGGGGAAAGATACTTCTTGATTCTGCAGGCCTAAACAACAATGACCGCATCGCCATCATTGCTGACCATCTCGAGCTGGGATCCCAGGTTGACTCCCAAAGGCATACGATGCACTGCGTGCTTTGAAATCCTTCTTTTGCTGACTAGCAGGTGCGGCTTCGCTCCCCAGTCCAGCGCGGTGGTTGCAGGGGGTAACTTCGCCAATCCCAGAACCAGTGGATCTGCCAAAGCCTTGGGCGTCCTCAACATGCCCCCATGATCCCCAATGTCTCGGTGAGTCTGCAAGGATACCCTCTCTCGATTTGGCGGTGTCATCATGGGCCGGCACGGGAACTTCAAAGTTTGCTGGTGCGGCAGCCTCTCGGCCTGTCACGTACCTTGTTGCGAAGCTGTCCGGTTGTCCGGCATCTCTTTGTCGCAACTGGCGCTTGGTCAAGGCTACGATGAGATCAACTGCCCACTTTGTTGCACACAAGTAGATCACTACACGGTCCACGCTGGCAACGTCACGAGTGGCGGCCCGATCCAAGGCCCGTTGCTCAAAGCAATCCCAACTCTAAGGGGCAGCAGCTAGATGACTGCAAGATACTGCAAGCAGAGGCCAAATTGACCGGCCACCGGTGGGCGTGCTTGGAGCTTTGCAAAATGCAGTACAATGATACGAAAAGATGCTGAGAATGACGCGGCATCAGTGTGTGGATAACCGGATAGCCATGGCACAAAAGACACAGTGAGTATCAAGCTCTGCCGCTGCACGTTGCTCCGAGGCCCTTTGCCTACACGATTTCGGGATGGGGCATGAGCAGCGTTGACAGGAGCAATGACAGCGTATGGTTGTACGGCACCATGCCTCAAGCAGCATGCCACCTGTGAGCTGTGAAGGATACGGCTCGTGGACCAAAACGTCATTTGCGGGCGTTCGGGAGCAGAGACGCAGCTGGCTCCTTACCGAAACATCCTGCGCGGCAAGAGGCCACAGCAAAAAGTGGCAGGATGTGGCATGTCTTCGCGCACTGAGTTCCCTTGGAATTGAAGCCAGCACGGTGCCGAACGGACGCTCGCAAATTCTTTCCCATAGATCGGCCCTGATGTGCAACATGGTGCAAAGTCGCAGGTGCAGGACTGTTAGACTGTTCGACTGCAGCCAGGACCTCCAACGTATACCGAGGGGGACCCTTCCAACCGCACAAGCGCGAGTTGGACTGGCATCGTGGCACCATACTCAGTGTGTCAGTTCGATATGAGTCAGCTTATTTGCCACGTTCGGTTGTTTGTTTTCTTTTTTATTTAAGTCTTGGTCTTCGCTCTTCGCCTTTGCTCATGCCCAGGTCCGCGAGATGCGAGCCTTGACTTTGCGATGGAAATCTTCGTGACGTTGCTGTGCAGTTAGCACAAACATGCACGCTGAGGAATCTATCGCGTTTGTTGGTGTGCCCATTTCTACATGGGGTGCACTTCCGGTGCCCATTTTGCGTCGAGCTCTCACCATGTGTCACACCAGTCGCATACAGCCGCTAGAATCCGCTGGAACAGTTTCAGATTTTTTATTTTCCAATGCGAGATGCTGCTGAGGTTAGACATTGGCATCATCAACCCAAGGGGCGCGTCCAACTCCACCTACATCAATGCCATCCCCGGGCGTCGGTGCCCTACAAGACCTTGGGCGTATGTAGTCTGCCGTACGTACTGTACCCATGTTGATGTACATCTGAGCAGCGTGCGCCGACACACTTCTGAAAGGTCCGTTTTCTCTCACAGTGAATGCAGCCCCGGGCTCTTACCTCACTGGCGATGACCGCATCAGGACCGTGATGCACGATTGCTGTTTGGGTTGAGGGGTATATGAGACGGTATATGGCTGCTAAAGCGGGGACGCCACATGTAAGCAGGGATGAGAAGTCTCGTCCTTGTTTTTTTGGCACATCTTTATTGCCTCGAAGGATTGTGCGGTCAGAGGTGCCAGGAGCCTGGCAGACCCCGAGCGATGTGAGCTTGCGAGGCTTGCGAGGCTTGCGAGGCTTGCGAGGCTTGCGAGGCTTGCGAGGCTAGCCCGGACTGAGGTCAGATGGAAAGTGCGGAGGCTTCGGCACATCTGCTGCCAGCTAAGCTCGGAGTTTGCGGGGAGGCAACATCAAGCAGCCAATCTCGTAAGACTTAAGAGCTGAGGAGCACTCGCCCTCAGTGGCGGCTCTAGCGTGCTGGCCCACATGTGAAGATTCTCCCGTCTGGGGAGCTTGCTCCTAAGACGTTCGGCCCTGCAGATGGTAAGCCCGACTCTGCCTGACCTGCACAAGTTAGATTTCGACCTTTTCAGTCCCAGACCCGAGGCCCCTGAGATGGGCCCAGACAACGAAACAGAGACTTGGGATCCTGTACTCATCATGGAGAGCCCGTCGCTCGGTACATCTCCACTGCTCAAAGGGGCTTTAGCCGCTCTACAGCAGAACGCCAGGCGGGACTTACAACATCTGCTGGTGCAACTCCGGGCAAGGCTCCTCGCATGCTTTTGAATCCCGTGCTGTGTCTTCGCATGTGGCGGCACTACCGAAACATTCAGCGCAGCCACCTTGCCGACTTGAGGGTGACGAGGGCCCAAGTTCAAGTAGTGGATTGTGGCAGGTGGCTGTGACAGCGATGAGGACTTCTCCTTCAAAGCCGGCATCTCTGCTGCAAGCAGGTATGATCAGCATAGCATAGCTAGTTTGATGTGCTAGTTACAATCTGCTAACGACTGTACTAGCTGGCCGTCGCTGTCGCAGCAGTGCAACGCATAGGGCATAGAACAAGTATAGTACCGGCTCGTGATCTCTTTAAAGTAGAGATACCCAAGGTATGATCATGGCGAATGGCGTGCTTGAGCCCTGGAAAGCGCTTCGTAAGGGCACTGGCACCCCGAGCTAGAACTTATCAACAACATGCCCCCAGGAATATCGGCCAACATTGGCACTGCGCCGCCTACTTTCCTTGCACCGTCGAAATCCAGATGTCAGGCTCTCGAGTGCCATAAGCTGCCATAGGAGCACCACCCCAATGGTTGATGACATAGTCATGAACTCATTGGGCCGAGCTCGGGTTGGATCCCCGACCAGATATCTTGCAAGGCCTTCCATGATCATAGGTTCCGAGAAAGAACGGAAAGTGCTGCATAGCCCCACTTAGGCCAAGTGACAGAGCACATTAGCTCCATGACAGAATGTGCAACAAATCTTTTGCGCGAGGGAGCCGCCAAGCATGTCTGAAGACGTTACTCGCATCCTTGGTTTGCAGATGGCCTTGCCTCTGGAGATTACCTGCAGTTGGTCACCGCAGCTCCGGGCCGCATGCTTAAGGCAGACACTGGATGACCAAACGGTGACGACATTGGACGCCAACATGCTCAGGTGCCCGGTGCGGCGCAGAGAGCAGGGCAGCTGCAACAAGCTTCACGAGGGGCACACGTGTTAGTGGTTACTCCGGTGCTGCCAGCCGGCTTATCCTGTTGCTTTGCTCTTTGCACGTGAAGGTGGATGAATTCTGTCTGTCCTTGATGCCAGGCAAGGACACAAGCGGGCAAGACGTCGTTATGTTCGAGTTTGGCTCCCCATCAGCATGACGCCTGGCTTCTAGGGCCTGCTGCCTTGATACCTCTGCCAGCAAAAGGCAGCAAAAAGTGTCTTCCACAGGCTCCAGGTATCTACCTCGCCTGCTACTGTCAAGGCACAGTGCCGGCCTCACCTACCACTGACTTGTTGGATGAACCAGGGGGCCTGAAATCATGAATGCTCAGACAACTTCTGGCTAAGATCTGCAGAACAAGCTCTGTGACTGACCTCGACTTCTTCCAGCAAGCAGGGCAGGCAGCCTGCCAAAGCATGATGGGTGGAGAAGTGAGATGAACCGAGAAAAGGTAGACTCAGGTAGACTCAACAGACTTTAGGCCCCAAGCCTTCTCTTCCAAACCTATGAATATGAAAGGTCACGGTGATGGGACTGCAGGGCCGCGACGACTACCACAAATGCTACCTGCCACTTCCTGAGTCTTCCGATGAATTCGGCTCGGCCGTGCGCACGATGAGAACAAACCCCAAGAATCTCCAAACAACTCCAAGAAACCACCGAGGCGCAGCTCCTGCCAGCTGAACATACGAGGCGCAGGACTGGACGCTCAAGACGCCGTCGCCCCAGACACCTGGCCAAAGAATGCTGCTTTTCGAGCGAGATGTGCCTGAGGCTCTGATGCTCTTGGATCCAATGGATAATTGTGGCCAGACTGGCACTCCAGTGAGCTTCAGCCTTGATGGGCATCAGACTCAGGAAGTACAAGAAAAGATTTGTGAAGCTTGATGTCATGGCCCTGGCTGGCACATGTTCAGGCCACGGTTCTTCACCAGCGGTGGGGACAGGCAGCGACCCCATGCCTCCATGGGGTTCTCAGCGGTTTTTGTCTAGCGCAAGGCGCAAGAACAGTTTAATTAGGCAGCAGTGTGGAGACGGTGACGACCACGACTAGCAGCCAAGAATCATCATGGGTAAGAAGAGCTGGTGAGGGCGACTGCAGCATGTGTGAGTCGTGAGACACATTGCTCAATTGGCGATTGCAGGCTTTTCATTGGCAATCTCACTTCCACAAGCAATGAAGGTGCGGTGCAAGAACGATGTGCTTTGTCGACAAAATTTGCCCCGACGCAGAACCATCTTCAGAATACTGCATGTTCTTGGGCAAGCATGACGCTGCATCATCATCCGTCCCCCTCTAGCCGACTCTAGCTGCTTTTTGCAGAGCTGTGCCGAGCTGCGCAGGCCTGGAGAGTTGGACGTTTACCCTCGGCACTCCGATTCGCACCGGAAGACACCGAGTGCCAAAGCCCCAAGTTGCCCAGGTTCTCCAGCTGTGCGGAAGATGCTTGCGTACTTAGGTGCTACTGCAGCCGCGGGCGAGCCAGCAGCGGCATGTGCGAGAACAGGGCAGACTTTGACCAAGCCGCAGGCAGGTTGTCAATAGTCGTTAAAGTCTCTCCTGGCATGTTTTGCCCTTGACTTCAAAAGGAAGATGTGGGAGTTTTTGGGTGTTCCTTCGGCATTCAATTGTTCGTCTCAGGCGAGCTCTTCATCCGTGGGTCCGAGTTCAATTCAGAACTCCGCTGTGAGCAGGGGGAGTTCAGCTCTCAGCACCGGGCGAGAATTTGCGGGGAGCTTCTTCAGGAGAATGTCAAATGAGCACACTGAGTACACTGGGCTCTTTCAAGCAGCCAACGTAGTGGCCATATGCGGTCTGCAGACAAAAGTGTCTTGAGGCTCTGCACGATCACAGCTCGCGGAGCGCAGTTTGATGCATTGGACCGGATGGTGTTGCTGAAGGACTGCCGCGCCCCTTGCAATGGCATCACTGGCCTCCGAGACCGCATGACGGTGATTCGTGGAAGGACGGTACCGGCCACCACTGCGGAATGGCTCCTGCCTCACAACGTAATTGTACTGAAAGCTGTTTTGTTCGCTTTGGCGACCGGCTGCGAGGTGAACGGTGGACAGTATCCTTCCTGGGCTACCCCCCTGACGCCCGAGAACATTCAACCTGATGCTGGGGCTTGGGAGTGTTGTGAAGTCGCTGTTCTTGGATTCCAGGGGCCTCCGGGTCTTCACAATTGGAATACGCTAGAATAGATAGAGTCAGATAGAAGGCCATCATTCCAGATCTTTGGGCCGCGACGTGGCGTATTGCCAATGTGCGCCGGGGTGCTCAGACTTGGGGGCTCGGCGCAGAGGAAGCTTCGGGGATCAATGAAACTATGGGGAACCTGGATGTTGCAAGCTCCCACTCCAGGTGAGCCGGGAACATACCGGATCTGCTACTGCGCCTACATCATAGGCAGTCCCTTGCTGTGCTTTGCTGGCTTTGGCACGCCTGACAGGCTCGGTTTTGACTTGGACCTTGGCCCTGATGTTCCATTGTCGGTTAATATTCTCCTGGCATCTTAGAATGCTTCTGATGCATGTCGGTGCTCTGTGCTCCAAGGCACATTTGAAGGTTCAAGCAGCTCATGTGTGCAGGGCTGCCAGACACCAATGCCGACCCAGTAGGCGGCGCCCTCGTAGCACAGACGAGGATGTGCCGTCCGCTGCAGGAGGAGGTGTTGGCCTTAACCAATGACTTTCGTGAACAGGAGGGTCAGCCTCGCCTGGAGTTGCACGAGGCCTTAAGTTCAGTGGCCCGGAAGCATGCTCTGGCCATGGCTGATCACTGCCAACCCTTCAGTCACGATGGGGCAAATGAGCGCTTCCAGGATTCCGGTCTCACGTGCCACAACTTTGCAGAGAACCTGGCAGTCTCCAGGGGCTATGCCAGGGAAGTGATGGCAAAGACAACGGTGGACGGATGGATCGCTTCGCCTGGTCACCGGAGGAACCTTCTGGGACCTTTCAATGTGTGTGGTATTGGTTGGTCGTCGAACGACGATTGCCAGCTCTACATCACACAGCTCCTGGCCTATGTAGACCTTGAGACGGAGCCGGCGACGTTGCCATCTCAGATACTGGATGCTGCCATGCAGTTCATGGACTCCACTCCAGCCGTTTGTGCCTTCACGGGCATGGCGCTTGCCGGTCCTGCGGGGCTACTGGCGGGTTGCATTCTGGGTGGAACCGCTCGTGTCCAGTGGGGCATCCGACCCTCCAGTATTCCTTTTGCGCTCGCAGCAAGGGCACGGCGAGAGGTTTGTCCGGCTCGCTGTTCCGGTTGTGGTGCTGCCGGGAGATCTGGTGGGAGATTGCTGCTCTCTTCAGATCGCTCCTTGCTCTGTAGTAGTTGCCACCCGTCTCCAGAAGATGGAGATGTTTGGCAATATGTAGAATGACATAGAGTGACTCCAGTCAACAGAACGTGAGTCAGAGTCGGCTTCTGTGCCAAATCTCATCTAGGCCCTCGGCATCTGCCATGTTACTATCTTACATCCTTTTCACATCGGTTATCTGTTCTTCATGTTTCACTCCTTGAGGCAGCCTACGTACAGCAACTGCCAGATGCCGGCAAAAAGGGATTGGTGCCTGAAGCCATGAGGCCGCCCCCACACTTGGTTATGAAAATGCTGGCATATGCCGGCATATGCGGGCTTTATGTCCATTGTTTCGTGCTTTGTGCTGCGCAGGTGGCACGGCTTGCGTGGAACCTGGTCAATTGACCCCATACGAACGCTACAAGCATGAGCTCGGCACGGTTAGGGTCGCGCACCTGGTCTGCTGCAGGATGAAGGCACAAAATGAGTCGCATGGCCAGATCGCATGGCTGCACTGCGTCATGACCCTGATGCTGAGTCGGTGATGAAGTGCACTAAGGTCACTGGATCTATCCTAGCCGTGCGGCAGGCCATTGAACGAGGTATGGGATGTCCTATACATGATCGACCCCGTGGCAACAGGTTGGAGTCACCCCGGGGTACTGGCAGCCGAAGCTCCCCGCGGCAAAGTACGCAGCGCGACGCCTTCCTTACACTTTTCAAACGATGGTGAATTTCCATGTTTCGCTGAACAAGGTCAGTGTTGAAGTGGACGCTCTGAACACTTTCATGAGCCTTGTCCGGGAGACTGGGAGACCTTGTGCTCACCACTGAACTGGCCGGGACAACGCCCCCGCGTTCGGATGCAAAGTTCCGGCATGAGTTCCCAACTTGTAAGGAAGTACACATGCGTTGCCACCACCCGGCCTGCACCTGACGGTTTCGTCCCGCGAAAGCCGGCGTCTCAGTGTGTTGCATACGCAGGGCGGCGGAACTGGCCTCTCCTTTTATCTTCGCTTGCGGAATCTCCCTGGCTCGGCTCAGGTCGGACTTGGAAAACTGCACCAAGGACCTGAACAGAACCACATGTTTTCATGTTTCCCAAGGACAGGCGCAAAGTGGACCTGCAAGTTGGCCGAATCGCAGGATGTTGAGGAACTTACCGACCGACAAAGACTCTTTCCTCGATGCTGGGGGATCGGAACCACGGTCGAAACCGCCGCCGACCTGCAATGGCTTGAGAAATGCTTGTCATGCTCGCGCGTCGCCTTGTCAGAGTGGCTAAGACCTACAAGCAAGCGCAAGGGTCCATCCAGTTCCCTGAGCCTGCGTAGAGGCAACGTGGCTGTGATCAGCTGCGAATGAACCCAGGTCACTGAGATGGGGCCAAACTTGGTGCAGCTTAGCTTTTCAGCGGTTATCACGCAGCTGCAGATTAGAAGCTCATGTAAGTTTTATGCGTGTTTGGCAAGCAATGCATCAGGCAGCTCAGTCCAATTGAGGCACGTTCCGACCCACATCCCTGACCTCACCCTGGAGACAGCTGTGGAAATGCACGTGATGGGCTTGGCACAGCAGATTTCGCCATCTTGCCATGAGTCTGCCTGAGCAGCTTGATCCTGTGGAGGTCTGGTGTTATGGTCGAGATCTGTGCTCAAATGAGCGCTGCGTCCAGCTCTCTGAGACTTTTGAGAACCTCCCCGACCAAACATGCACTTCTCAATGTCAGACAAGGTCATGCCAGCGGACAATGTCGGCCTTGCAGTTCCTCTCACAGGTGGCCTTGTGTCTTACTCGACGGCCGGGGCCACAGCTCATGCACCTGCGTCCACTTGCCTGAAAGCCTTCCGCTCTACTAGTTGCCAACGCAGCTTTGGGTTGCTGTGTCGCCGAGAACTGGGCAGCTACTGTGTCAACGCCATTTTCACTGCGGGTGCCTTTGGCCAGTGACTTTGATATCGGCCACGGGCCTAACGGCAGCCGCGCGCAGCATGAAGAAACGCCTGTGTGCATGCCGGCTCTTTCGCACTACAAGTAATTACTAGTAGCTTGCACTCGTGCACGTCGGCTTTACTTAAGGCATGCCCGCAGCGAGAACGCTTGCACGCCTGATTCATCGCATGCACACGTGCTTGCACACGGGCACTTGCTCAAAGTACGCAGTGCGCAAGCTCGAGTATTGTGGATCCGTTCTTCTCTGATGATGTCCGAGAGAGCTTACCTGCACTGCAGAGGGAGTGCTTTGCCATGTGCTCCCCGGTCTACGCGTGTGATCCGCTTCAGGTGATCCGTGGCCACGCATAAAGATTATCACGCACGAGAGCTTCGTGACAGCAATAACACATGGGCATGTACAACATGGCGCCTGGCTCACCTCTCACCAGGTGCCTGTGACACTACGCAGCTGCACCGTTCGGTCTGGGACTTACACGCTCTGTGACTCTAGCTTTTTGCTTCTGGGATCCATGTTCCTTGCTTGCATGTGCCTTGCAGACCACAGAGACCCGCAGAGCTTAACCAACAAAGGGGTACGCCTCTGTTGATCTTGCAGTGGACAGAGTTTCCATCAAGCTGCAAGCAATGGACGGATACTGAAGTCATACTGAATACTAAATATGACGGTTGTTGGCAGAGGTTACTTGTCTTTGCCAGATTCGCACACAACCGCAAGCCGACAGTTAGTACTCAGCTGACATTAAGCATAGAGTATATGGAATATTTGCAGATCCTCGGGCTGTAAGTGAAGAAGAACATGCCGCTGACCCCAAGCCAGGTCATGGGCATTACGTGCCTGGAGAGTGGAGCTGGGGACCCAGTAGAAGCACTGTCGTATTGAGATTATTGGAGCTCATGCCAAGTTGGCGCAAGGTTGGGAAGTGCGAGCCAGCACCGATTTCCACCTTGTCCTCCGGTTCATGGGGCTCTGGACGAGAGCTGATCTGGACCGGCAGCTCTACAGCACGGAGCATCGTGGGATGTGGGGGTTGCTGGGAAGGTTTTCTTGCGTATCCGGATGCCCTCATCAATGTCGGCACTCAGCTTCGACAGGCATTGCAGTCACGCGGGTTCGGAGCCTAGATGCGGTCCGAAGGAGCTTCACAGCGGCCAGCAGTCTTTGGTTGCAAGATGTTGCAAGTTCGCGCCTGGCAAGGGGCGCGACAGAGTTTAGCATGGGTGTCAAGACTTGTTTGCATGTCCTCCAGGCAGACAAGTATACCGTGTGCTATTGCGATCGACACTATGCCTTCAGCTGAGACGCAGCGAGCGGCGAGATGACATCTCGTCGTCTGCAAGCTGGCAGAGTGGTCATTCATCCATGAGCTACCAAGGCAAGTACCTGTGTGGGCTGGATCAGCATCGGCTCCTTGCAAGTGAACGGACCCCAAAACGCTGGCTCCATGAGGCCCTTTCTTTCATTGTGGAGGGTTCTCGAAAAGGTGAGGATTTGACGATTTATAGCGTGGCTAGGATTCAAATCGGCTGCGCATGACAATCGGGCGTTTGGATGTTGCTCATGTGACTCGTGTGGCGTCACAATGAAGAGGTTCGTCATCAATCCTGGAGTACCGGGTACGGTCACAGTCCCCGGCATCGGCTTGGCAACTTGCCTTCAAGTCTGTGGGGGCTGCGTCGGTTTCCATCATCATTTCAGACTTTCGGAGTTCGCATACTACGTGCGCACCCTGGGAGCTCGGCATCAGTACTGCAGAAATCTGGCATCTTAGGCCACAGAAGACAGGCACGTTTGTGTCGCAAGATTCTGATTTTTTGTGTTCAATCACCTTGCTGGTGTTTCATGCTCTCTGCAGGATTCGCATCATTCCGCAGAACGTGGGGTGCATGCAAGTCAGTGCGGTCAAGAACCCAGTGGCCAAATACAAGTAGGCGGAGGACCTTGGTTCCTGAGGGCTCATGCGTCAGGAGGCCCCACAAGAGGCTCCTCAGGAGGTTTCAGGCAACTCGAGCTTTGGGCTCGAGAAGGGATGGATATAGGGCTTCATGGGCTGTACTGTCACACAAGGATTTGCTAACCAGGCTTGGGCGGTCCTGTCTTTCCTTCCCTTCAGCTGCAGAAGCCTGAACAAGCGAAGTCAAGGACCCCTCTGGCCTAGAGTCAAGCATCGAGTGGGTGAAAGTTCCAAGGAATAGGGAAACTTGAATCCTACTTCAGACCCTGAATAAAGACAGCTGCCTAACTGAGGCCACGACGACCACTCCTTCCGCGCGCAGGCTCCAGGCCTTGCCTGCTTGCCTGTGGAATACTCGCGCACTTCGCGCTTCTTCTTTCGATCTTCCGACGCCCGCTGCTTTGTCGCTTGTGATTCCGTATGAAGCCGACTGAAGCCGACAGCAGATTGACTTCCGATCGGGATCTGCAATTTCTGCGTGCCGCCCTTGGCTGTGCTCGCACATTCAGACTGCAAGCGTGCGGGAGCATGTGCAAGTGATATTCTGAGTGAGTGACAGAGTGTGCGTGACAGTGAGTGAGCGACAGTGAGTGAGTGGACGAAGCAGCGGGCCGTCGGGGCCGGTGTCTTCCCTTTGGGGGGACACCTGCGCTGGGTAGAAGAAGTGAGTGAGAGAGAGAGAGAGAGAGAGAGAGAGTGTGAGGGACAGAGAGCGAGAGAGAGTGAGAGTGTGAGTGTGTGAGTTTGCTCGACTTGTGTTCGTGCGTGCGTGCGTGCATGCGTGCGTGGTTTGTGATTGTCCGGGCTCATGCCTTGCAGAAGCCGCAGGAACGGAACGCACGAGGAGTGGGACATCTTGATCAGTGTGGAAGGGACTTACAATGTGCAGCCCTTGGCCAGCCTTGGCAGCTAGTAGCAGCTTCGTAGCGCTCTCCCAAGCCATGATGCGTATCACCAGGTGTGCTGGTGCGGCGGTGTCGAGAGCAGTTGCAGCTCGCCGTGTTCTCGGCTAAGTGAGTAGGTGCTGTGGGCTTCGTTGTCTTGGTTTGTGTCTAGGGCCGATGACTACACGGTGTTCCTGGGGACACTCTCAGTGGCCACAAGGCGAGACTGTGAGGCCTGGTCAATTGCGAGATTCGGGCTCTGACGTTCAAGTTGCAGTCCTTGTTTCGGTGATGTGATCAGGATAACTACCTAGAGTTCCGGAGCAGTCCTGGCCTGGCAACCCCCGGCAGACATTGACATATCTTGACAGCCTATAAGCACTGGCACTAGTAAGCAGGGACAGGACAAGGGCGGAAGTGCTTTGAAGGTGTAGATGAAGGTAGGTCATCCAGCATGGAGTAGACCCCCTAATTCCATGCTGCTGCATGAGCTAATACTGCTGCCAAGCACTTGCATTTTGTGAGTTCTGCCGGCATGGTACGGACGAATCAAAAGGGTTGGGTCGCTAGCCGGGCAGCGTGCCTGGCATCAGGCCTTCCGCAGCTTGTCTGCAATATCGGTGCATGATTCTAGCACAATCAAGTGCTGTAGAGGCAGATTGCTGGATAGCCCGCAGGATATAGCCCCAAAAGGAGCTTGAAACTTGACGTGCCCAGGTAGCCACCTACGTACATGGTGTTTGGCGTGCCAAAGGATGCCCTGAGCTGCTACCTCCTTGTCCAAGTGCTTGCGACTTGCCAAGGACCGGCTCCTGCCAAAGAATGCTGAGTTTTCTGTTTCAACACGGTTGAGAGCCCTGGCAAGGAGCTCTCGGAAAGGACTTGCTGCGGCGCCAAGTGCAAATCAGCGCCTCTGATGACGTTTTATCCCGTTTATCCACCTCTTATACTCTACATGTGATAGGACGCCTTGTGTGATGGCGTCATGCTGTTCAGAGTCTCGGAAGATCCTGCCAGCCTAGCCTTGGAACATAAGGCAGTTCAGCTGAGATCGAGCTGGCGCACACCTCACGCTCCTCCATCGGTTCACGTGAAGGTTCTTGGCTTCTGGGCATGAAGAGCTTCTGCTGCTCCGACCCCACGATCCCATTTGCCACCCAAAGCCCAGGGCTGTTTCAGTGATTGAGTCCCCTTGGGGGTATGCTTATGCCCAGCTTATGCCTGACTGAATCTCACTGACCGATTGCCACTACTGACAGAATATTATGCCTTGGTGTTTTCATGCTGGGACGTGGCTGCCCTTGCTGTGGAGGGGGGCTTGCTTGAAGTGCAAAGCGCCGAGGAGTGTTGGTGGCAAGCTGTCCAAATGCAAAGACACACTGGAATCAAGCTACCAGTGCCAGGGCACACCTGGATATGATCAGTCCTGCATCTTCCACTGCGCGTACTTGGCTCCAGCAGATGACAAGGATGACAAGCTGTGGGTGATCACCCTGCTGCTTCTAGATGATGACAGACCACAAGATCCTGCAATCAGTTTCTCGGCCACGCTATTCTAGACGCCATTTTTTCGCGTGCTGCAAGATTGCTTGCAACACTGGTTCTTGAAACATCTCGAATCGTGCTGCCCACATCTTAGTTCAGAGCGTCAAGGTGACTGGGACATGCCCGCCATTAAAGTGGAAAACCCTGTCGCTGTCCGCGTTAAGCGCTTCTCATCCCTCTCCGAGCTGCAAGAGTACGCCAGCCGCTTAGATGCAAGGAGCGGAGAAGAATCGCCAGAGCGGCTTGCTGAAAGCTTGCCTTACGGCCTTACGCAAGGCTGCTGAGTTGCATGCATAGGTCACGGCAAGGACATGACACAAGATTCAGACGGAGCCCAATGTCAGCGCTGTAACGCCAGGAAATCTGACGCTGCACCACCGTCCTGGATTGAGCGTCCTCTTTCGAGCACTGTGGCAAGATCGCTGGGCGCACGCGCTATTTGATGGATTGTATCCCGCCTTTGTCTCGCTGGCAAGGCAGGCACTCATGCATGATTGCATGACTGATTGTTGATGTCGCTGGAGTTGCGAGTTGGTGATGCCTTGGACAAACCAAGTCTTTGAGAAAGATCGATTTAGCCGCAGCAGCTTAGCGGCCACTTTCTGAGCGCACGGAGTGGGCTTCCTAAAACAGAGTAGGATCGGCACATCTCGTGTGTGCAGGTTTGGGTTGGAGAATCATGCCTTTACGCCTGTGGCCATCATGTCCAACTACACGGCTGGCTTGGATTGCAAGCCGCCCGCTTCCACATAAAATGTGTGAGCGCGAATTGGGGAGGGGGGGGGGTAGTCGTGTTCTGGGCTCAGCAGTTCGTCTTCAAGCCTTCCAACTTGGCCAAGCTAAGGAAGGGGCCATCTCAAGCTCTCGGCTTGTCAGGCATCCAGACGTGTAGAGGGGAGTGCAACAGAAGCAGATAAAGTGGGGCGCTAAAACAAGGCTTGGCATCAATTGGCATCCAGTGACAATCTAGTGCCCCTGTTTGCATGTGGCAGGTGCAGGGATCTACACTGGCACAGCTTGTCAGATGGAAGAGGCCTTTCGATTGTTCGGGGGCAAGAGCAATCATCATCAGGAGCTTCTTCGGGTGAACGAGCTTTGGGACCAGCTACTCAGTGCCAACGCCGCGTTGCTCTTTGATCACCTGGTCAGCGGCAGCGCGCACATGGGAGAGTATGCGTCCTACCTCTCTTTGCCCGGAACCAGAGACAGCAGCCTGGCTGAGGAGTCCTCAGCATACGGGCGAGATATTGTTGGCCAGTTTGCAGACAGACTCTATCAAGCGCATGGCCTGGAGCCTCCACCCCCCAAGAGCTCCTCCAAACCTGCCAAGAAAGTACTGAAAGTCATCATCACTGCGAACAAACGGATGACTTCAGGGGAAGTGGCGGCCATGAAGGACCTTGCAGAGACAGGAGTACAAGGAAAGCAATTGATGAACGTCAGCTTCGTCGACTGGTCAACAGTGCAGCCTTTTTGGAACCAGCTGGAGCTTCTGCAGAACACCGACATAATGGTCACTGGCATCGGCACAGCACTGTTCTACTCGGCCTTCTTACCGTATGGCTCAGTTTGCATCAACACGGGCTGGAAGGACAGCTTCTTGGTGCCCACTTTTGGTGAAGAGGTGCTTGGAATGTCAAACCACCGCAGCAGGTTTTTATACATGCCGCTGGACAGGGTCAGAGATGGCGTGGTCAAGGCAGACGTAGAGCACCAGATTCAACGCGCAGCATCTTTGATTGTGGACGGCTTCTCCCTTCCCCTGCATAACTCTGAGGAGAACTTGTCAATATTTGGCCGAATCATCCACGACTTGGGGCAGCAAAGCGGCAGCTCCAAGAAAGGATTGCAAGGTCGTGAGCAGCTCGATGGTGGCTTCCTGTGCCACCAGCGCCCTACGGGCCAGACTTCTCTTTCTGAAGCTTGGCTGTGTACCAGGAACAAGGGTGAGATGCCATTGGCCCTTAAGAACAGGCTTGCACATGGCGCACAAGGGGGGAGGAACCCTAAACCGTAATCCTTTTCAGGATCTCGTGTTCGAGCGCCGCGTGGATGCCCGGAACATCCTCTTCCAACTTCCTGGCCAGATGGATTTGGCTGAGGCATGCCAGATAGATGTGGAGAAGCTCCGTCACTTGGCGCCTACAGAGCATCAGAAGTCATAAGTATCCATGAGTATGAGTAGTTGGAGGCTTTGGTATCTTTGGCAGCATCTCTTGTCACGCTGGTCGTGCTTTGAGCAGGTCAGCTGAAGAAGAAGTATCAGCTCCAAGAAGTCTTGGGAGCACACGCTGCCAGCGCTGCTGACTGTGAGTGTGTTGTTTGTGAGACTTGTGGGATTGTGACGTTGTAGATTGTACCTGACACTTCTTCGTGTGGCCAAAAGACATCAAGTTCGCAAGGCGAATGCTTGCAAGAATTGAGCAAGTTCATGTACATTCATGGCTGCAATGCTGCTGAAAACGCCTGCAGGTCACAGACTGGTGGGTCGTGACTGAGTGCACAAAAGCTTGTGGCGGTGGCGAGGCCGAGGGTCACAACTTAGTGTAGAATCCCTTCCCCCTCATATTAAAGGTCCCCCTCCTCCCGGTAGTATTAAGACCCCCCCAAAACCCGCAAAGGGTGTTTGGTTGTTTGGTTTTGGGGGAGGGGGGTTCTTATCCGAAGAAACAGCCCGTCCGTATTGTAGCTTGCTGGGAGACCAAGCCCAGGGACTGAGAGGAACTTGAGCTTTGAGGGTTTGGGGCTTTCAGAGTCAGGGCTCAGTTTCTTCTTCAGGCTTCCGTCCCCCCTAACCCCCATCCTCCCCTAGTTCGGTAGAGGTTTTAATAGGCTACGGGATCAGGTTTTGGGGTCAGTATTAGGGGTGTTCTAATATTTGGGGGGAAGAGATGTGGGGTGCCAATGCCTGTCAGGTCAAGATGAGGCGTGGCATTCTCCACGAGGCGATGACATGACGTACATTATGTTTTGCATTCTGCACATCCTTGTATGGTCCAGCGCTAACAGGCGTCGGGCGGTGGCCAGGCATGCCCCAGTCAGTCCGAGCTGGTGAAGGCAACTGAAGCTGCTTGCACCGCTGGCGGACCCCATTGCTTGCAACAAGCTTCATCTGATGTAGTTGCACTTGATCACATCACAGTTCCAGCTCAGCTGGTTGGCAGACCGAGCAGTGCAACATGAAGCCTTGCCCTCTGGCTCGACTGGATCGAGACTTTGCCGCATTCAAAAAAGACAACGAAAATGTTAATTTCATGTACATTCACTGAATGACCTCATGTTCCTTTCCTGCCGCTCTTAGGTCTGACCACGTCGCCCGAGAAGCTCTATGCAGGCAGTCTTCTCTGCGAGCCACACAGAGCATCTCGAGCAGTCTGCATCTTGCCACAGGCTCACCCTTCCAAATGACCATCGAGGGTGAGTGGCTGGACCCAGATAGCGACAGCTTTGCTCTCAGCTGGTTGACACGTGGAGTTCACAGGCGAGGCGCTGTGCAGTCGATTCTTGCTCTTCATGTTTGTGCTGCCGAGGGGTTTTGCTCATCGGCCGGGACGAGGTATGCGGCCAAGTTCAGGCACACCCCTGTTTTTGTGGCAATGCCGGTGCATGCCTCACATGAACGTTTGACAACATGGCAACCATGCGCAAACCGCTAACCTCGCAAAGGCAGACATGTCTACAGTGTCTCCTGCAAAGCTTCTTGGAGAGGCACATCATGGTGGCGCTTCCTGCAACAATTTCGGTGCCAGTGGCTTCGCCCTGGTTTGTGGAAATGGCGTGATGCTCAGCAGTCCTACTGTGCGAACTGTCATGTTGCAATGCCACATTGGGAATCCGGTGCTGCCCGCAGCTCGTCAGTCTACGCTTCAAGTACTCGATTACCCAAGATTGGCAGATCACGCCCAGAAGTGTTTACTTCAGAAACACTTGGCACCAGTTGCCAGCCTGGGCAGTACACTCGGAATACGCTCCACTAAGCCCACTAAGCATCAAGCATCAAGCATCAGCACAGCTCTGTGCTCTGGATCAAATGCGTTCAGATGCCTTCATGGACATGCGAGATGTCCGCATCCAGCCTGCCGCGCCCCTGCAAGCCCTGCAGACGGCAAGTGGAGCATATGAAGCCCGGACTCGGCCACATATAGCCAGTCATGGTCAGTGACCTGGACCCCACCGAAGTGGAGCCCAGCGCTGTCTGCGTGACAGGCGCTTCGGGCTGGTCTACGTCGATCAACGGGGACTGCTGCCTGAATCGCTTTCAGTCGCAACCATGGCCGTGAGTTCATAGCAGAAAACACGTTGGCGCAAGCATGGAAGCTCCGAAGCGTAAGGAATACATCATCACGGCCACTCGCCAGCACGATCGTGCAGCTGCCCGGCATGATGTGGGCACGTCGCAGCTGCATGTGGTTGGAAGAGAGACGTTCTGCGGGTTTTGAGCATGTTTTTGAGGCACGGTGCTTCTGGATTGCATTTAAAAATGGGTCTTGTGAAGCAGGGGATCAAAATGGCTACAAGCATTTCGGCTACAGGGAGTGTTGATAGTCTCTAGTCAAAATGGCTGACGAAGGGGATCACCAGCTTGCTCTGGCCTCCGAGCCAGGGGATGCTTCCCCTGCCAAGAGGCAACGACAAGTCATCCAGACCACTGATTCTGATCTTGCTACCACAATCCATAATGCCATCTCCGCTTCCTTGGCATCGCAGCTTGCTGTTCATCTTGACCCCATCACCCATTCCCTCCGATGCTTACAGGATGGGCAGGTCGCCCAGGATCAGAAGATGTCAGACATGGAGAGGGAGAATGCAATGACGCGAGTCTCCATCACAGAGATGGATGAGGCCCACACCAAAAGGATGGACGGTCTGCAAGCGGAGATCTTGGAGTTGCAAAAGAAGATCAGTGAGTCCGCGCCGGTGTCTCCCACCAGTCCGGGGATGTCCCGTGACTATCGAGCAGTCCCGCCTGTCGAGGAGGAGTCCTTTGACCTTGTTGTTGGTGGTTGGAAGGCTGGGAGGTCAAGAGAGTCTGTGTCCGAGCAGTTAAATTCCATTCTGAGTGCGCATGGGCTCTCTGAGAGCGTGCAGAAGATTGATTTGTTTGGCAGGAAGCCAGAAGCAGGCAAAATTGTGCTCTGTGGAAACTCCTGTGCTACAAATGAGGCCAAGCGGGATGCCCAGATAAGCTCAAGAGACGCCATCCGTGCAGTGTTGCCAGAATCATGGTGGGTGACTCTGGACAAGCCCCCGTACATGCGCAAGATATGCAAAGCCATCGCCATGTTGAGTCACTTTCTTGAGTCGAAACTCGGTCTTGCTAAGAAGGATCTGGTTGTGGGTTCGTGGAATCGGGCTCGCACGTTCTTGGGAGAGAGTCAGATAACCCGAAGGTTGACAGAAGCAGCGGTCTCTCAGCATGAGAAAATCATCCTGAGTGATGCGAAGACGTCGGTGACTGTTGCTGCTGACCTCCAACAGATCGCAGCCTTTACAAACCGTACAGTGGAGGATGTTGCTGTGCTGTGGAGGGTACATTTCGCATGACTTGGAAACAATTCTGTTTCACCATTGCTTGAAACGCAGCGCCACCAGAATTCTCTCTTACAGCTCATTTCCTGGAATACTCAAGGTAAATCCTGGACCCGGACTCTGCAAGTTCTTGAAGACGCAGAGGTTGATTCCCACATTGTTGCTTTGCAGGAGTGCTCTGCTCCCAAGGGTGATGCAGAATGCAGGCCTCGTGATGACGACAGTAATGCAGTTGCATGTCAGGTGGCAGTGGGCTTTGTGGTTTTCACATGCAGGCCCAGTGGGTGTCACCGTCAATTAGCCTTTTGTTTTGATGAGATGTGGGAGGGGCAATGGAGCAGGTTTCAAGTCGGCCACTCCCATGTTTCAGTTCACGTCCAACTGATGCAGCGACAGGTTGTGTTGGTCAATGCTCATTTGCCGCACTCAGGGCGGCCCCACGATGATATGTTACAGGCGTGCGATAGCCTTGTGTCTTCTCTCATGCCGTTAGTGGACAAGCAGCTGCCTATTGTATTCCTTGGGGACTTGAATTTTGATCTTCACCGGGAGGAAGCGTCTTCTGAGAGAGGTTTTGCTGTGCTAAGCATGCTGGAAATGCTTGGGGTTGCCACCCTTTCTCGAAACAAAGATGTGACATGGAGACATAAAACCTTGGACTATGTCCTTTGCAATAATTCCTTTGCATCTCTGGTGCATCATGTGAACCCTGAGGACGAGGGGCCTTGGGGTGACTATGTTGTCAGGCCTGATCTTCAAAGCATGTTGGGAGTTGACCATGCTTGTGTGATGTGTGACGCATTGCTCCCTATGCTGGTGCCATCATGCCGCAAGAAGAGGTCAGCGTACTGGTCACGGATTCCGCGAAAAATGTATGTCAACAGGCCAGATGAGGTTGAAGCCTTCTGCAAGTCGGCCTCTTTGGAGCAGCCCTTCAATGACCGCTTGACATCGTTGAAATCCCTTGCTGGTCGTGCTACGGTCCCGCGCCGGTCCTTAAGATATGTTGACCCTCCTGAGGTCAAGAGCATGCTCAGGACAAGGTCCACGTGCTTCGAGCCGGCCAAGAGGAAGAAGTTGTCTTTTGACATTTCAAAAGCCCGAGCTGCAGCGAAGCAAGCTTGGAACCGTGAGTTGGTTGATAGGGCGGCCAGTGGAGACTGGGTTGCCAGAAAACACATCACCAAGCGTGACAGCTTGCATGCTGCGTTGTGGCCCATGGTGATGTTGCATGGTGGAGATAAGGGCAAGGTGGTTGATCTTGTTGCCGAGCATTTTCGTGCTAAGTTTGGAAGTGATGCCCACGTTGATGTGTCTGGTGTTTTGGCTGGTTTGTGCGATGCAGACGAGGGGCTCTTCTCTGTCGGGGAGATCTCTGACTGCTTGTCCTCGATGAAAGCGAATAAAACCCCGGGAGTGTCAAAAATCAGTGTGGAGCTCTTCAAGTCCATGGCTGTCCATGAGGGAGGCTTGCAGAGCTTGAAACACATCCTCGATGATATTCTGCAGGATCCGCTCCTGCTCATGCAGCAGGACTTGTTGACTGGATGGGTGATCCTCCTGCCGAAAAAGCTTCAAGTTCTCGATGCAGCTATGCTGCGCCCCATTGTGCTCGGCGAGGTCCTGGTCAAACTGTTGGCGAAGTTGTGTATTCGGCGGTTGCTAGCCACGTGGCCCACACCCAAGTCCTGTTTTGGCTCGGTGCGGGGCCGGGGAGTGGCGGATGCTGCGTTTCTGACTTCTGTTGCTGTCAGGGAAGCTGTCATCATGGGGGCTCCTGTGGTGGCAGTGAAATTGGATATCTCGGGGGCGTATGACAGTCTGAAGATTTCGGCTGTGCTCCAATGGTTGGCGAAGCGATGGAGTAGCTCTACTGGCAAGTCTGCCAAAGTCATTCAGCACATTCTGTCCCATTCAACCTTGGTTTTTCATTTGTTCGACCAGGAGTGGACTCAAGTTCAGTGCGTTGGCACGCAGCAAGGTGCGACACATTCACCGGTGCTTTTTAGCTACCTCGTCTCGGACAGATTTGATGTCCTGACAGAGTCGTGGGAAGCTGACGGTGAGTCCCCTCCGTTTTATGCGGGGCCATTCAGTATGTGGGGCATCTGGTTTGTGGATGACACTACACTTTTCTTCTTGAACCCCTCTCAGTTTGGGAGGTTAATGCCGACTGTCGTATCTACGTTGGCTAGTTTGGGCTTGCGCATCAATGTCAAGAAAACATGTACTCTGGGCTTGACTGCACCTGGGAATTTGGAGTGTTTGCCAGGCCTGCCTCACGAGTTGCAGGCAAGATTTGTTGGCATCATGTTGAGGTTTCAGGATGACGACACAAGTATCATGTCCGATCTTATGCGGAGGGCGATGGCAGCTTATGTCTCTAACAAGATCTTGTTGGGTCACCTCGGAGTGTCGAGACGAAAGCGCCTCCAGATGTTTTCTTCGCTGGTTACCTCGGCCATCAGGTGGTTATTGTGCGTTGTTCCTGCCAGTGATGCAAATTTCAGAAAGCTTCGTGTTGGCCATGTCACTTTGATCAGTTGGATGCTGAGAGTTGCAGCTCATTTCAGCAATCCTGTTCCTGAGGGTATTTCTCACTCTCGCCACGCGTGTAAGCTCTGGCTGTGGTGCTATTCAGAGAGGTGGGATCACTTGCATGCTCGTATGGTGTGGGATTGGGCTGGTCATGTTTTCCGGCGTGACAGAGAGGGCATGATGTCTCAGGCTGTGCTCCATTTTCGATCTTCAGTTAGACTACAAGGTGCCAGGGCGGCGAGGACTGGACCTCAAAACTTTGGGCATCGCAGGTTGCTCTCATTCCTGGAGCAGCGAGGCATCCAACCTGTCACGGCCCATGACAGGCAGCTATGGGCGTCCTACCTTCCTGATTGGCTGAGCTCATGTGGAATGGGAGATCTCGAGTGTCGGTACAATGTCCAGTGGGTCTCTGAGAGCCATCACTTGGGGAGACGTTGGCGTGATGTACAGGGCACTTTTCTTGGGCAAGAAATTTGGATTGTAAGTCGGCGGCCGGATGGAACCCTGATTCTCAGCACGCTGCGGCGATGTGATGGCTGGCTGCATTGGGAGACGCATGACTCAGGCTTGATGAATGTGTGTGCAGTGGTTGTGACCAACCTTCTGAGCAGGACGTTTTCGGTGAGACTGTTGATTGCAGGAGAGTTTCAGTCAGTCTGCAAGGCTCAGTGCCCGTGTTTCAGTCGAGACCTGGCGGCCCAAAGTGTGGTTGTCGAGGTCAGTTCTTGTCCCATGGAGTGGGCTAGGCGAATGAGGGAGGTTCTGCGGTCATTTTGAGCCTCCTGAGAGCCCGGCCTGCTCTTCGTGCCCTTGCGTAGCAAGACCCTAGGGGATGGCGCGGCAGAGAGAGAGAAGCAGGGGATCTCCCTTTTTGTATGGGCGCTTCTGAGGTTTATGTCAAGCCCGACTCCTCCAAGTACCTGGCATACAGCGCGGCGAGGCGCTCCTGGCAGGTCTCACGCTCCTTGGGGCCCTCGGGCTCTTACGCCTCCTGCCCCGGAGAGGCCCGCAGGGCTCAGTACAGCGATATGTAACAGGAGCTCTGCATCTTCAACGGTTCAACGTAGCAGCAATAGATACCATAAGAAAGTGTAACATGATAGAGAGAGTGTCAGATGCAGCCCTGGAGGATGCAAGCCCGACTGCTCTCAAGCTGGCATGCAACATTGGTACACGGACGGAGCAGGGCCTTCAAATCCTTGATGTTCCTCTCCCGACGTCTCTGCACGTGTCTGGAGCAGCTGCGCGAGGCTTGGATTTTCAGGGGGAGTTTTGCCTCCAGCAGGTGACTGAAAACATTGTCCTTGGACGATCTGTGAGCACTCCGGTTTACCAACTGTCGGCATCATCCCCTTGCGGAGATGGGCCAGCAGACGGAACAACAATACTTCGACTTGAGTCGACGTCCTGGGCCTTCATGCGCTCCACCTGCGAGAATCCTCCGTGCGATGAGAAGCCCATCACTCTGGCGGCCTGTGACAGTCAAGTGCTCCGCCCTGACCGGCTTACAGCTGACTGCTTTGGCTTCCGAGCAGATGAGTTCAGCATTGTGCCTGCGTGCGCACGAGATGCTCCACTGTCCGTGGAGGTGGCAGGCCCTTCGAAAGGTCCAGGCAGCCAAGAGCGCGGCGAATACCGCCGGACCTTTGACCTGGCAGGGCGACCTGCTTACGAGAAACCGGACGAGTCCCGGCACCTGTCTCGCAGCTGCAATCGTGACATTGACATTGTCACCCCCCACTCCAAAAAGGATTCTATACCAAATGTAGAGATGATGGGGATGTGGAAGATTTTCTCGTGATCCCGCTTTGCCGTCCGAAGGTTTTACAGCCCAGATTTGGGGGGCTGGCAGCTTTCTGCTGCCAAGGGGCTGGGCACAGGAACTGCACACTCCGCAGCTTGCGCCTGCACCCCTCAGGAGCTGCAGGGTCCATGGCAGGTCGGGAGTCGCTAAAGAAGTTTCGTGTGTGTGTGTGTGTGTGTGTGTATGCGCGCGCGTGCGAGTGCATTTTTCTGGGCTTGATTGATCCACGCATCATGCGCCTTCAGAGGTGCTCGATGACCAAGGCCGACCACAAGAAGTGCCGCTAGTCGTTGCTGCGAGGCCGCCTCCGCCACGGCTGACCTTCACTGGTTGGCCGCCACACTTGGCTCACTTCGCTGGTGCCTTGCCTCAAGACCCCCGCCCAGCTGACCAATGCCCGTCAAGGGATGGCAGCCACAGGTGACGACGATGTTTTATGCATCTGCGAGCAAGCCCCAGAGCAAAGCAGAGCAAAATGTCAACTGAGATGATTATGAGCTGGTCGACTTCGGCTCGTATGGCTTGAGTGGCAGGCCATCGTACGTCCTCGCATTGCCACCTTGCTGCACTTCCCGATGCAGTACTACTGCAGTACTCGTACTAGGAGCACAGGAAAGTGTCCTGCCGCTAGCGCTAGGCCAGCTTAGGGAGCAGCGTTGTGCAATGTCGTACATTCCTGGCCTCAAGCAGCCAGATTCTGCAAGCAGGCCACAGCAACCCTAGCTAGTTCCTGAACCAACGAACACTGTTGCTGCCAAGAAGCGGCCGTTCGGTGCGGGCTTCCTGCCTGAAGTTTCCGCTGCCGGGCTGTGAGGGCACAAGCGCTTACCTCAACTTTGCCACCGTTACTTGGTGAAGTTATCGGAGTGATTTTCGAGTGACTCGAAGTGCAGGCAAGCCGGATGCAAGTATTTGTGCTGGGCAGGTCTCTTTCAACTTACTCTCTTCCGAGTGGCAGCTTTCGCTTCAAGGGCAGACTCTGGCGGCAGCTGCTTCGGAGATGGAACCACCTCAAGGTGTAGCCGCCGCCGCATTCCCTATCTGTGAAGCTCCGTGTGAAGCTCCGGCGAAGCTCCGTGTGAAGCTGTTGTACTCAAGATTGTACGCAACTCAGCAACTTGAGAGTTCCGTGTAAACTACCCGTAAACTACCCTTCGGCCGCAGGCGCGTTGCAGTGGCACTTGGACCTTTTCTCCAAGCGCATTTGCATGCCGCTACCTTCCTTACAGCTTGTGGAGGAGCTCTGGGCGCCGTCAGCTTCCTGGATACAACCGGATACAAACTCGACATAATTAGTCAGTATATAATTATATATAGCTTAATTATTCATAAGAAAGTCAAATAGAGTCACTTGCAGCTGTCCTGTGAGTCCTGAACTTGGCACAATGTGGGCCATGTGCCACGTGAGCACTTCTGCATCGTACGAGTGGTCGCACGGGGTCTCGTGCTGTGAGGCCGTATTAGTTTCTGGGTGGATGGGAGTTATCAACGCCGCAGTGAATGGAGAGTATCTTCGGAGACCTGAAGACCATCAAGGTCGGCCATGGTACATGAAATCCACAGGATCGGCGAACCTCTTCTACAGCCAGGCCGGTTTTTTCCACACAAAGTGTCTATGAGCAGCGCGGTTTAGCGTGTAGTCGTTTGTTTTTAGCTCAATCTCAAGAAGTCCCAAGAGGGAGCGACTGACCGAGGCCCGAGCTGCTTGGGTCATCTCCCGCAGCGAACCAACATCGCAACAGGGGTTCATGGCTACATGCCCGGAGCCGCATGCCCGAAATCCTTCGCGTCTCCCGCGCTGCTGGGCAGCCCATGCACGCCAGCAGTTGAGGGTTGTGGAAGCATGCCCTGTTATACGATGGCGCGTGCCACTGCCGCCGACTTTGCTCCGGTCTTGCCCAGACGACACAACGAACCAGCTGAACCAGTCTGACCATAAATGAAATCCCTCGAGGGAAGATGAGGCCTACTTTGTGTTGGGCGCTCTTGGTTAAATTTTGTGTCCGCTGCGCATGTGTATCAGCTGGCCTAAGATGAGAATCGTGTCTGTAGCTGTAGTCCATGAAAGTGTGAACATGCGGGGGCTCTGAAAGAGGAGCGAAAAGAACTCAAATGGGGGCTGAAACGTTTCTGAACGTGTTTTCGGCTGATGTGCAACACGGCCTATGACGGCTTTAGGTGCCAACAGGGCTGATCCTTGCCCCTGCCTGTGACCTGAGAACCGGTGAAGTCGGAGGGAGGATTGCGCAAAAAGGGATCCTGTTCTGCAGCTTGGTCCTATGGGAGTTTTGCCGAGCCCAAGATTTCGGGGCACTTAAAGAGGACTCTGATGGCGGTGGAGCCATTGGGAGGATCTGCGAAAGACAAACAAGCTGGGAGGAGTGCCAAGCCAAAACGTTTCAGCATGGGTTTCCAACATTTTCCCACTGCGCTCGGCCGACTTGGCTGGCTCGCACGGATCTGTGAGCTCCCTAGTTAGTTTCAAAAGTCTCAGGCTGCTGGACCGTGGGCATCTCCTATGCGGCAGGCATGCTTGTGGAGGCACTGGCGCCGGCGGATGGCCTCCACTTACAAGGTGCGCCATCGGGCCTGTCGGGCCCGTCCTGCAACGGATATTTTATGAAGACGGGCGAGCTCCACAAGCGCGCCGTCTACAGACAAGTGCAAGAGGATGCAGGCCTTGGCACATCTTCACTGACAGCAGCATGCCAGATTGGATTGAGCGCATTTGCACGTGGCATATGCATGACGCTGGAAGGGGTGCAGCGCTGCTCCCTGTTCTACAAGACATCTGAAAATTCCTGGGTTTTGGCCCTTGGCAGACGCAATGATCGACCCCCTGGCGGAGCTGTGGCCCAACTGAAATTGGCTTTGGCACGGAATCTAAAATTGTCTCAGAGATGTCACTTCAACCAGAACATCAGGTCCTTTTCAAAGCACTCACCGGCGGGCACAGCCCAGAAGCTGCCTTTGCCTTCGCAAAAATCCAGCAGCCAGGTCGGGCCCAAGATGTATCCAGATGTTGTGCTTGGTCGCAGCAGCTTCAGCAATGATTCCGACAATGTTCCGTTGGCTGCAGGATGGCAGTGGTCGGCCGACAACAAGTCTCACGGGCAGGTGCGAGGGCAACTCGTAGAGTCGTAGATTCAGATGTATCGTCCATCCACAACCACTGAACTTGCAGCCCTACCTGGGACTCCCTGGACCCTACAGTCTCCGCTCCGGGAACAGTGGAATTGTCCAGGACACGTTTCCGATCCATCTCCGCCGGCTGAGCATCGGAGCCAGGTATGTGCTCGTCACATCTGACACGCACAAAGAGGCTCGCAGACCAGCTCCAGGAAAAGACAGGGCTCGGCACATGAGTCATGTGACACCCCTGCCCCCCGTTCCTGCACAGGCGCTGGATGGCTGGTACGCACGGGTGGGTGATGTTGACGGGCGCCCTGCGTACGCCCGCAAAGACGAAGACAAAAACATCTCGCTTGCTTACAGCAACGCGCGGCTTGGCAGCAAAGGAAAGCTCAAGTCCAAGGAGTTTCAAGCGAGAGAGAGAGAGAGGAGAGATGTTGAGTCTGCTCCTGAGGGACGGGGACTGGCGCCTGACGAGCAATGGCTCCCTCCTGGCATTCAGCGCAGATGTACGTGCGGCGGTCCCGGAGCAGATCCGCACCTGGCGTGTGGCCAATGGAAGCTTGGTCTTCGCAGAAGTGGCCTTGACCATCACAGTCGCGCAGCAGCAGGGAGGTCACATCAGAAATCAAGAGTCTTGAGCCTGGTCAGAGACAGGCACTTACTTGCAAGCTTAGATGCAGCTAAAATTGAGCCAGCTGAGGCAGCAGCGAGACGGAGTTTCTGCATGCTTGTGCTGTGCATGTCATGCATCCGAGAACTTCTGGCATGACAAGGGTATGAATGTGAGTTGGTCATCAACGCCGAGGTGAGCGAGATTGAGCAAGCTTAAACCTGGCGAGCAGAGGCAGTTCAGGACAAGGCCGCGGGTCTGCTTCCAGAAGGCTTTCTCGGCTTCTCAAGTTCGTGTGGGGGAAGCATCGCGACATACGATCGGACGACAAGCTTGGGAGCTTTTGGTGGATGGCACATCATCGGGCAGACACGAGAATCAGCGATCCATCAAGTGAGATGAAATGGCCGAGTTGAGCCTGCATCGCACTTCCATGTCTTAAACACTGAACATTGGAGCCGTGAGATTGTTTGTGCGCTGCGGTTTGTCCGCACTTCTTTGTTTCCTCTATTATGCTTGACATCAGCATATAGTTCAGGTGCCTCCTCGATTCGCGTTCAGAATCCGGGATGGTGCCCAGCTCTTGCCCAGAATGCGGTAGTTCAGCTAGTTGCATTGGCATGTGCTGTGTTTGTTGCAGTGCGCGATTGGCTCAGTGCACACGGACTCACACATTCCAGGTATCGCGTTTGCGTTTGCGACGCAAGTGCTTCGATCCAGCGCAGCCAGGACGGAAGCATGAACGTCACAACAGGTGCTCCCAGATGTAGGTTGGCCACATCTTTGCAGCTGCAACAGCCATCCGAACTGCAGGTGCAGTGGAGTCTGCTGGCATCATGGGAACCAATTGTGCTTCCCGGCTCACTATTGATCCCTACTGCAAGCACGCCACGCAAGGTACAAGAGAACACAATTGCTCAGGACTCGCCCTCTCACTACATTCTCAATCCGGAACAAGGGCCGCTGACTTATGCGTGTTGGTGATCTTGCTAGTGACTGCTAGTGGCAAGCACCCAGGGCAAGCATTCAGCAATATCCAGCATCTCAATCACCGAGAGCTGCCAGGGCAGTGCTCGAAGTCTTCGAAGTCCAGATACCTCAAGCGGCGGCGCAGACAAGCGAGGAGGGCCTTCCCACAGGTGGGCTTGACGACCTTCGCCTGGAAGTTCTCTAAACTTCGGCCATGCAGGCATCATGGTTGCCATACTTGCAAGCGGCCTGTTCACACTCGTGATCCTGGCTCTTGTGTCGGCATATTGGGCCTGGCTCCAAGAGTTTTGCAAGAAAATGGTGGCAACAAGGATGTAGTGCCAACATAAGGTCCGGAAGAAGTTCTACAGCATCAAGCCTTCTCAGGTCCGGGATGGGACACTTGGCGGCATGCCATGCGTTTGCTATGCACAGCAAGAGGTCGCGAATTCTGACATGATGGCGGCAAAGGAGGGCAAGGACTGAGCAATGCTGATCCCTGCTCGGATACTCTGATCAGATATGACTTGCGAGGAAGGAGTCCAGGCCCGCCCTAGAGAAGCGAAGTTGGTGTGTCATACTACAGCTTCCCTTAAAGCTTCTACATGCTTACAATGTAGCAAGCGGAAATGCCTTGAAAGAGACCCCTCGAGGCGGCTGTCGCGCAAGCCTCAGAAGCCTCCAGTCATGTGAGTACATTTTTTAAATCCTTTGCATGTGGCATCATCATTGCTAGTGCCTCTCTTCTTCTTCATAGCTGAGGACCCACACATGCTGCAGTACTATGAGTCTTATTACCAGTTGCGCACTTGGAACGTACGTTGCGGAGCTGATCAGCTGCCCCCTTATGTGCGATGAAGAGGTCTTTGGGATACCCACCAGGCACCGCAACACAGGTGGGCTTGCTGTGATGAAGAAGAGCAAAGTGCATGATGATGCAGCATACATGAGCCACAGGTACTTGGCGGTGTTGCAGCTAACGCTCAGCATCAAATGGCGCTTCCAGCGCCGATGATGCCAGGCGCTTGCCCGAAGCAGATGCTATGTGGTGCTTTGTGTTGGGCAGTCCCAGTTCCAAGTTGAAGCAGGTGCTATGATGCAGGCTGCCCGCAACTTACTCTCCCGACTGCTGTGATGTCCGAATGCTGGCCAAAGTCTACTCGTGTCACAGTAGTGTCGAAAAGTCTGAGCATTGCTGGTGGAGACGATAACGTGGTAGTGGAGCCGTCGTCGTCGTCGTCGTCGTCGTCGCAGGAGTAGAAGTAGTACGTAGTTGTAAAAGGTGTAGAAAACAGTATAAGTAGGAATAGTCGCTCGTTCTTGTATGTTCTAGAATCTAGCAAGCAGTGGTGGTGGCAGTGGTGGCGGTGGTAAGCAGGAAGCATGCATCGCGCTCGCAACAGCAGCAGTGTGTCCTGTGCTGCGAAGTGGCTCTCCGTGGCCACAGCGGCCACATGTGCAGCATTCCCACAGCCCGACTGCACCATCCCGACGTCACACGCGAGATTCATCCTCCAACAAGTCATGCGAACCCAAATGCATGGGAAGGAGAAGGAGAGTGATGTTTTGCAAGCTTCCTTGAACCCGGCCAATTTTGCTTTCCATTCATTCTGAAGCTCAGGCCCCACCAGGCACGCCAGCTTTGCAGGAGAATGTTCCTCGCAGCCCTCACCTTTGCCACTTTCAAAGTACAAACTGATCGGTCCTGCTAGGACTCGGCTTGGATGCAGCCCAGACCAATGTCAGGGCTTCAGCGTGTTTCTTGTTGTTTACAGGGGACCACGAGGCAGCAAGATGTTTGAACAGAAGGCCAAGCAGTCAAAACTAGCTGAAGCTTCAAGGGGGCTTCCGCTGGCATTGCCACCTTCGCGCCACCCTGGCATGATGGCGCCGCCAACGCCGCAGAATCGCTGAAGCCTCGAAACCTTTCGGAGCTAAAGCAATGCAGAGACACCACACTGGTAGCATGTCAAGGTGGACGCTCACCTCGAGGAAACGAGACCGGCCCACCTCCCTGTGATGCACTCTTTCTGTTTGGTCTGGACTTTCGAACAAGATGAGGCAAGAGCTTCGGTGACCTGGTTTCGGAGACCAACAGGTCCGTGCTGCCAGATCTCTCATGAAGTCCCGCAGTGCCACCGCAATGCTCACTGCCATCGATACTTGTGCCACAAGCGCCCCAGCAAATCCGAGATGTCTACAATGACCCACGGCCCTTTCTGAGGCGGCCGTCCAGGCAGCTGCCGCTCTTTACGGTAGCCTATATGCAATGAGAAGAGTGCTTTGATAAGATGCATCTGGCTCAGATCTCCATCAACAGTATTGTTGCCACAAGGACACTTCCTTGCCACGTATGCCGACGCCAACAGCCACACCTCGTGGTGTCGCCACACCTCGTGGGGGTGAGGAAGCAACTTTGGCCGAATCCTTAGACGATTCATTGAAGTTCTGATTCTAGTCACAGGATACACAGGATACACTTGTGAACAGTCCGACACCCTGCGGGTGTCTAGGCCTTGGAAGATGGCAACACTGACGAGGCCGCTGCAGGCAGGGTCCGACGATATCACCAGATATGTTGGCTTCGCTTGTGAACATTTAATGAGCGAAGAAAGGCTTCTCACGGCAAGTGAGGCTCGATGGTCTATCGTAGGGTGTTGACTCTGAGTAGTCATCAAGAAGCACTTGCAAAAACTCTTTGAACACCCTGAGCATGGCCCCAGCTACAATAGCTCACAGACTCCCCATTGCTTTCGATGGCAATCCTGGTACGAAAAAAGGAAGCTCCGTGAATTGACAGATGTAGAAGTTTATGGCACTTGGCGGGGATGTGTATGGCGCGGTGTTTGGAGAGGACTCTGATGGTTTTACCGTATATGTCCTTGGACCCTTCTCTTTCCGTGGTGCTGGTAGGGATTAGTACGGCATACCTCTTCCCCTCCCTTCCGAATGCTCTGTGGTGTGGTGTGGTCTTTGTGGGTTCCACCCTGCCCTTCCGAGAAGTTACCTGGAGAAGCTGAGGAAAGTGAGGGAAAATATTGAGGGACGCTTGAGACCCCCACCCAGCAACACCCTGCAATATGAAGCCATCTGGGCAGCAGTTTCTTTTCAAACTGCCGCAGATTCTGTAGATTGACAAAAGCTTCGCGCTACTCCCGGGCTGCTTGGTTCGATTGGGCATCTAAACGATCTACATCATCTACGCCCGCAATTAAACTGCACTTCAGTGAACTGCATGTCATGTTGCATTCCTGAAACCATGCTGGCACTATGCGGTTCTCACGTCGAACGCAACGAGAGTATAAAGAGATAAGACTGGGCCCTCTGGCACGCCCGGGCGGTTGCGCAGGTTGTCGCTTGCAGCCTGTGCGCATGTTTGCTCGCAGTCTTTGCTGCCTCCGCGTCTCTCTCTCTCTTTCTCTCTCTTGTTGCCGAGTTGATGTGACAACGCACTACGCTTGTGTTGGCGGGGCTTGGATGAGTAGAAATCCTCCAAGACCACAGCAGAGCTCTGGTTAAGAGAGTTTTTCTCGTGTTTTAAGCCAGGAAGAGTGTCATTTGAGCGCAGCCGCGGGGGGATGGCGCCTCGAACAAAAGCCAGCAAAGGGGTTTTGAGACAGAATGCACAGAAGAAGTGGCATGGGTAGGTTTCATGGGGATGCTCGCAGCTGAGTCAATTCAAGGGGGTACGGGGGGAGAGAGGAGGGCTCTGCTTTGATGCACAGGTCACCCATGCCAAAACAGAGTTGAGCGGTTTCTTAGCGCTTGAAGTGTAAACAGAAGTGAAGGCTACACTTCCTCAAATGTCACTCTTGTAACTTGGTGATAAGTCCTTGCATTCCTATAGACGAACAAAAGTCGATGAATAGGTCGCCATGAAATCCTGAGAGCCCAAGCCACCCCTACGGCATGTAGATCAATTTCGGAAAGCACGGCCCCCCTCCCCCCCAGCAATGCACAGCCAAGACGTGACGTCAGTCCTGCCTGCCTTTCTTGCCACAAAATCTTGAGGGCGTTGAGACTTTGCTGTTAGATTGCACTTCGTTTTTGCAGGGGAGGAAGTCACTGTCACCGTCTCCAAGAGCCTCGAGGACGTGAAAGAGCCTCAGCATCGGCCATCCACCGCAGACTCAGCAACTTGTCTGCATGGAAACCTCGTGGGTGACGTGTTGGCGTGCACCTCCTTGCCCTTGAGCCTTTGAGGTTCTCAGCTGCCTGTCGGACTCCACCGCAGGCTCAGGCTAGCCAACGGCTCCAGCTTCCCGCTTCGATACTCGCTGTGCGATTGCCATGTGCATATGTTCTTGAGCCAGACGGCTGAGCCCGTTGCAGGCCCTAGCCGACCTGGCACAGGCAGACAACTATCAGAGGGACGGGCCTTGTGTAGGATTGGAGTGAAGCTTGCACTTGTTTTGGCAGCCACCATGTGTATCCGCGGAGGCATTGCTTGCTTTTGTTTTCTGCGGATGCCCCGATCGCAAGGTGACACAGCAAAGCCATCGGATGCCGAGGCTGCTGGAATGTTCGCCCCGGAATTGGGCAATGGTATGGTCTGTGTGGTGTGAGAGCTGATCAGGGTAAGCCGCTGTCTCCTGTCCAAGAAGAGCAAGAAGAGGAGGACGAACATGTGATGACGACATGATCCAACTGCTGAAAGAAGATGACATGTGGAACATCTTGTCGGCAACATGGGGAATGCTAATTCCCAGGACAAGGAAGGAAGTAAAGACACTCAGACTCCTCGCAGTTTCCGAACCTTCTTCAACGACAGGCCACCTGCTGCCCTGCTGCCCTGCTGCTCTTCTCAGGAATCTTCCGTTGCTTTGTGATGGCTAAATGGGAGGGGGCGCGTGCATGGGGAGCAGGCTAACTGACACCGACATGCCACACTACTCATTTCTTTGCAGATGATGTGTGTGTGTGTGTGTGCCTGTAACTCTGCTGCCGTTTTTGGAGAGTGCGACGTAGGCGTGTGTGTTTTTTGCGGACATTTCATAGGCCAATTGGCCCGATACATCATTCCCGGATTCCGGGATATCGACATTCCAGCTACTACAGTTCGTAACGAGTTGCAACAAGGCAAAACAAGGCCATGGCATTCAGATCGGGAGCTGCTAGGATGTTTGCAGTTGGGGCTTGCAGAGGCTGTTCCTTGCAGGGTGCCCCTCGCGTGGCGCAAACAGAATAGGCTTTATCGTAGTTTGGCTCATCTGCTGAATGTTGTGCCAGCCCATTTCGACCCTAGACTGGGCTCTACGAGCCCAGGGTTTGCTCGAAATGGGCTGGCATTTTATTCAGCACAGGAGACAAAGTACCACAAGCCAGCCATTAAGATATAGTGTGTGTGTGGTGGTAGGTGATAAGTGGCCCAACGGAGCAGACACATGCACCATCGAGGAAACCTTTGATACATACGGAAGCTACAACTCACAGCATTGCTCTCACTGCATGTTGGCACGCGGTCCCAAGTTCCATCTCACGATACCTGACATCAGTCTTACAGTGTGGTGAGTATCCCCCACTTCTGGGTAAAGTAGCTGCTGCACTTCAGACGGCTCTGCCATCAACTTGGGACAATGTCAGGGTCACCAAGCTGCTCTCCAACAAGGAGGGTACCGGGCCCAGCACACTCAGTCGACCAAGGCGACTAGCAATGTGTGACGCATCCTCCAGCTTGGGCATAATCAGCGTGCAGTCCGTGCAGCACTCATCAGCACTCCACCTCATGCACCCTTTCATGCACATTGATGCACAATGCACCCTGAAATAAGACGCAAGGCACGGAGCCTGAGCGGAAACTCTTCGGGTCAGCCGGGGGCAGCTTCAGCGGCTCCGGGCCTAGATCTCGCCTTTCGTCGCCCATGTACTTTCCAGGCAAAGTCTGCACGCTCGAAGAATCATGTCTTGGCAGGTTTCTTCGGTCAGTACTCGACTCAATCTGGACTCAATCCCGCTAGCTGTTTGCTTGCTGCACGCCGTGGGCATTTGTGCAACAAGCCCCAGCTAAGATTTGGTGATGCATCCGCTTGAGCCTGAGCAAACTAGAAAGCTGACAGTTGCCTTGGAGGCAGTAATCACCTACATCCTCTCACTGGCTGGAATCCGGGGTTCACTTTCCAGGCAATCCTTCGACCAAGCTGGTGATCTGTAAAGACGTGACATGAACGAGGGTTTGCAATCCGCACCCCCCGTCCCCCCACCCGGCCTTGTGGGCCAAGGCCAGTGTCAGCAAGGAGGTTCCGCCTGATCAGGAGGTGCAAGGAGATGAAGCCGACGAGGCTGCAAAAGCTGAGAAGGACGAGGCTGAGCGCCTCGCTGCAGAGGAGCAGGCAGCTGCAGAGGCACAAAGAAGAGCTGAAGCTGAGGCTGAGCGGGCGGCCGCTGAGAGAGCGGCTGCCGAGAAAGCCGAGGCAGACAGGCTAGAAGCTGAGCGCCTTGCAGCGGAAAGAGACGAGGCCGCAAGAAGAGCAGCTGAAGAGGCCGAAAGACTCAAACGACTCGAGACAGACAGACTGGCTGCAGAGGCTGCGGAACGGGAAGCAGCCGCTAGAGCTGCAGCTCAAATTGCCGAAGCAGACAGGCTCGAGTCAGAGCGCTTGGTGGCTGAACGAGCGGCTGCCGAAAAAGCAGAGGCGGACAGACTAGAAGTTGAGCGTCGCGCAGCAGAAGCCGAGCGTCTCGCAGCTGAAAGAGTGGAAGCTGCGAGAAGGGCAGCTGAAGAGGCCGAACGACTGGCTGCAGAAGCTGCGCAACGGGAAGCCGCAGCTAGAGCTGCAGCTCAAAAGGCAGAAGCAGACAGGCTAGAGTCAGAGCGCTTGGCGGCCGAACGAGCAGCTGCTGAGAAAGCCGCTGCTGAGCAAGCTGCTGCTGAGAAAGCTGCTGCCGAAAAGGCTGAGGCAGAAAGGAGGGAAGCTGAACGGTTGGAGAGGGAGGCAGCTGAAAAGGAAGCTGCAGAAAAGGCCGGTGCCCCAGTGTTGGCGACGCAAAGCTTCCGGTCAATATCTCCCACGAGTATGGCTGAGAATGGTACACAAGTGGTACACATGATTTGCTTGCAAGGCAGACCTGAGTGTTCTGTGCAGGCGGCACAGGCGGCGCGGGCGGCGCAGGCGGCAGCGGAGCGCTGCGACCTGAGCGCGATGGCACCACCTCGCAAGCGGACACAGCGGTGAGACTCACGCACTCACGGTGTGAGGTAGAGGGCGTCAAGTTGCTGCGTCCTGTCAGGTGGCGTTTCGCCCAGAACCGGGAAGGCACCGCCACCACCCCCTCCCAAAGCCGGGGGAGAGGCCGGGCTTGCCCAGACGGCCCAGACTCAGTGCAACTTAAGGCAACTTAAGGTGTCAAGTTCTCGAAACTCTTTCTTTCGGGCCGATTCGGCATCTTTCAGAGCGGCTCCACGACCGCCGACCGCGTGTTGGCCCATGCCCCATGCTGCGACGGAAGCGGGGGTCATTTCGGGCAAAATCCATGATTCAAAAGGCATAAGAGAGTCTTAAATTCCAAGTTAGTCCTAACTCGTTGCAGTAGATAGTCGCATGCAAGTTCCTGCATTCGCTAAACGCGGCAGCTCTTGGAATGTCACGGAACCTGGCTCTAATTGAGAATCGAATCGCCTTCGAATCCCGAGAACTGCTACAGGAATTGTCCGGAGCTAGTTGGACCGTTTGTGCTCGGATCCCCGGGGGTGTGCACCTCGAACCGTCAATCCGACTCAATCCTAGACGATGCGAGCTGCAAGGAGTTTTCTTTCACAGCCATGAGAAATGAGAGTTGGCGGCAAGCACATCATGTGCGCCGTTTAAAATCAATCGAGGGCATCGGTAGTGGTCTCTGTGGCTGTTTCTGTGCCTGTGTGTTTGTTTGTTTGTTTGTTTTGTTTGTTTGTTTGTTTGTTTTGTGTCACAGGCGCCTTGTGGTTGTGTGCGTGAGGACGAAACAGCTGTCAGTGGGCAGTTCATCATGTCATGGCTTGATCCGATGATGACCTTGACTGACTTCCCGCATCATATAATCGACGTACTCTACGTAAGCAGTGAAAGGCCAGCCGTAGTGGATCCAAATCCTCTGCCGGTGACCGACGACCACCTCCTCCACCTCCAAAGGGCAAGCCGGCAGTGCGGTGCGCCCAAATCGCGCAGTTCACACAAGTTGCCACAACAAGTTGTCACCAGCGCATCAGTGTGAGACGAGCATAAAGTTCCCGACGCCTTTCTGAAAGCCCGGCCTCGTGGTGAGGCCGGGACCCAACTTGTCAGTGGAGACAGATCCGGATGCCACGATCGGGTCAGCATCTGCCTGCGACCGAGCACGCGCTGCGCATGTTGAATTCAGATTAGCTACGCAGATTATCTAGTGAGAATCACGTGATGGAGGCCAGTCCAGCAGGCTGGAATCGAGCAGACCATTCTCTAGCTGGGCTTTGGCATTCACAGCAGCAGACCCCTTCTGGCAGTGCCGCTCCTTCGCTTGTTTCTCAGATGCTGTCGCCCTTTCCGTGTGCTGTTGCGTTTGCGGGCCTCTTTTAAACTTTCTTTAGACTGTCAGGAACCGGCTTTTCAAGGAGAGAAACTGCAAGTAGATTTCCGAAGCATTTGAAGTCCAGCAGTTTTGGTAGATCTGCCCGTGCTGGCCAAAGTGATGGCCAGCGAGACAACGGATTGTGCAGCAACGGAGGCCGTGAAATATCTGCCTGAGCTGCGTGATTTCGTGATCCGGGGTCACACCTCGGTAGAATGGCGATTGGGGCAGCTCAAGCTTTTGCGGCAAGTGCTGGAAGAGGAGAAGGAAGCCATGTGCCAGGCAGTGGGCACGGATCTCTGCGTGGATGAGGCACAGGCGCTCCTTTTCCAGATCGGCGCTCTCTTCGGCGAGATAGACCATTGCCTTGACAACATACCAGCTTGGAGTGCAATGAAGAAGGTCAGCACACCCTTGGTGTTGCAGCCTGCCTCCTCGTATGTGCAAGCACAGCCGAAGGGGGTGGTGCTTATCCTTGGCGCTTGGAACTACCCATTCGTCGTGACCCTTGGTCCGATGATCACAGCTCTGGCAGCAGGAAACTGCGTGATTGTCAAGCCATCAGAGATGTCACCAGAGTCAGCTCAAGTCATTCACCGCATCTGCGCTCGGCTTGATCAGAAAGCCGTACGATGCTGCTTGGGGGGAGTGGAGCTGTCTACAACCTTGGTGGCCCAGCCTTTTGACCACATTATCTACACAGGATCTACACGCGTGGGCAGGCTGGTCATGGCAGCTGCCGCTCCGAACCTCACCCCGGTGACGCTTGAGCTCGGTGGAAAGTCCCCTGTAATCATGTGTGGTGGCATTGACATCAACGAGGCTTGCCGCAGGATTGCAGTGGGAAAGTTTGTAAACTGTGGACAGACCTGCATCGCCCCTGACTACATGTTGGTGGAACGTGGGGTTCGAGATCAGGTTGTGTCAAGTCTGAAGAAGGTCATCACAGACATGTTCGGAGACAGCGCCCAGGCACCGCAGCATCTCAGCCGCATGGTCAACCAACAAGCAGCAGAACGATTGCTCAAAGCTCTTCGCGAGCCGCATGGTGGCCATGTAGAGCTTGGGGGGGCGTCCCCTCCACCAGGTGCAATCAGCGAGGGCCAGAGGTATGTCCAGCCGACCATTGTGGTGGATCCGAAAGATGACAGCACCATCATGCAGGAAGAGCTTTTCGGCCCCATTCTGCCAATTATCAGCGTGGCCTCTTGTGATGAAGCCATTGCCTACATCAACAAAAGGCCGAAACCTCTCGCACTTTACGTCTTTGCCCCACCACCGGTGGTGGACCATGTCATGCAAAGCACTACTTCTGGGGGTATTCTGGTGGGCGACACGGCGCTGCACAAAGGTAACCCTCATGTGCCCTTTGGTGGGATCGGAGGGTCGGGCATGGGCAGTTGCTATGGTGAGTTCGGCTTCAATGAGCTGTCCCACCAACGTGCGGTGATGTACCGCCCCCTCTTCCCACCTTCCCCTGTCACTCTTCCGGCTGACAGCGCCTTGAGCAAGGCTATGTGGTTCTATGTTACGATGAAGCCAACCCATGCAAAATGGATCAAGCGGCTGAGCGCGGCGCTACTGGCGCTGCTGCTGCTGCTGGTCACCCGCAAGCTGCGGCAAAGGTTTCTCGTACCTAGACTGTAGGTGTAAGCATAGATGGTCTGCTGGCGCAATCAGCGTTGCTGGCTGGATGTGCTTGTGGATTGGTTGAGCCGCTTTAGCATCATGCCGCTTGGGCATCTGGCAGAAGGACAGGAAAAGCTCAGTTGACTTCCTGTTTCTAGGATATGGCTCAGGACTGTTGGTTCCATGCACGATGGTGGTCATGCTTTTCTAGCCGAGGCCTTTGGCAAGCATGGCAGCAGCGGACGGGGCAGAGGCTGCTTGATGGGGCCTGGTGCACATGTGAGCGTTATGAGCTTTGGTTTGGTCAGAGACGCTCTTGGTCTTCATTGCTCCAGGTGCAGGCAGAGTCACCGGCAGGCTCCGCCCCAAACACAGAGCGAATGATGGGGAGACCGTGGCTGGACTGCATGGAAGTGCGTGCTGATCTTCAGCGAGGGTGGGAAAAGTAGCGATTTCTAGCATGAGACGGGCTTTGCTCAAACGTCACCTCTTCCAATTTGTATGTGCCTGGGCTTTGACTCTGATGGATGCAGCATTGTAGCAAAGCTGGCAGAGTCAAATCAAGGCCCCGTGGTCCTGGTCCAATGATGCCTGGCAAGGGCCTCGAATGGCGACACATGTTACAGTATGGTACACTAACCCTTCAGCACTGCTATGTCTATAATATAGTCCTCGCCCGCTGATCACCAACGAGGTCCGGGCTTGAACGTCGAGACCGACTTTGAAGATACCTTGAAGTCGAATGTCTCCATGTCGCACGATGCCCAGGGAGTGTCTCTGTAAGCAAAGCCGGCTGGCTGGGCAGACCCATCTTGATTATAGTGACCTTGCAAGCCTGCCAGGTCAGATTCGCCTAGCAATCGCAGGACCTTGATGCAGTTCAGCTTGCCAGGGTTGCATCTGTGAGCTTGAACCATTGCTTCATGGCGTGTACTCTGGCTATTTAATGGCTCTAAGCTCATCCGTAGTCTGTCCACTGTTTTGCCTGTGAAGTACAGGCGCAGCCTGTCCGCATGCAGGTCTTGTGCCGGATACCGTTTTTACTGGCAGAACTTTGCTAAGGTGTTCCTTTTCTGCCCTGGATGGTGTCTTAGCAGCGCCCAAGCACCCAGGCCTTGGGCCACTGCAGAACAAGAAAAGCAATGCTCCTAGAGCCCTGTCGACCCGCATGATGTGTCAGGCATGGCCCTCACGACGCTTGTGCTTGCAGCAGCATGTGGGGCATCTGCGCTGCGGCTCGATGCAGACCCGATGGCTGAAGGCTCGGGGTTGCATATGCTTCATGCGAAACATGTGCCTTCGCCTTGCCCATTGTCACCTCGATAGATGCTTGCCTTCAAAGGGTGCCTATGCCATCCATGGCCTGGACATCTTGTTCCTGACAAAGCGCACGGTGTGCGTGTGTGCGATTTTCATTGTTCCCAGGCGCCTGGGCCATTGACGCAGATCGTGAGTGGCCATGGAACCGGACAGATCTGTAGAAGTTTGCTCGCCGAACACACTCTTGGGAGGTGTCCTTTTTGCCTTGCTCAGTTTGCCGTGACTCTTGAGGGTGGAGTCGGAGAATGCAGGAGGTTGACAATGGATGAGGCGGCCATGCACAGGTATGCAGAGGGCGAAGAGCTGACCCCCTCCTCCAGCGCCTTGGAGGTCTTCGGGCTCACAGCTTTTGTTTTCAAGTGGAGAGGGGCCACATGCTATGGCAGGCGCCGGACAGTCCGCCAGCACTTCCATCTGCCTGGTCCAAGAGGCTGACATTCTTGGAAGCATTAGGCAGTGGCGGGCACGGATTCCTAGCTGGCAGGAAGGGGATGAGTCCGCATATTGAAAGGTAAGTGACCGTTGAGGGATGGATAGAGCAAGCCATGTGTTTGTTATCCGAGGAACTGCGTACCTCTACACGGCCGCGTGCAATTCCTCCAGTGTCACAGTGACCGTGAAACTCCTGCACCAGAAGCGGCTCCAGGCTTGTGCGCGGCTCAGCAGTGAAGTTGTTTATATGTAGCAGAGATGCAGCCAGGACCGGCGAGAAGTCAGGATTATGCGACAGATGTATGGAGTATCCGATTATTGTATCTCCACCCTGGGTGCACCAGACTATGTCGATACTGATTCAGGCCCCTCGCTTCGAAGCCTCGTCAAGCCACCAAGCACATGAGAGCATGCCTGCTGTCAGCAAGGTCTGTGGATTATGATGCCATTTATGAATTCTGGCAACCTCTGGCAATTATTGCAACGATGCCACACAGCACAGTGTAGATGTGAACACCGCCTCTGTTGGGAACGACTGGGAGCTCCTCACAGCATTCCCTTCGTTGCTGGGCCCGCAAATCCAGATCCCTGGAGCGTTCGTCACTGATGTGAAGTGAGGCTGCCACCCTTGCAGCTCTTAGGTGCAGGCACTTCTTTATCAGGCAACTTTGGGTATCGGCGCGTTGCACGCGCAAGGGTACATCCACATGGACTTGAAGCCGGAGAACATCATGCTGAGTTGCCGACAGGACAAGTGCCTTTCGGTTTGCAAGAACAAGCCATTGACAACTTGGCAATGTGCGGTCACCCCGCGAAAGCACTGTGCTGTCTCGCTATGAGGCTTTGCCGAAGTGATTGACCTTGGCATTGCTTGTCCCCCGAAGCTTTGCAAATGGTCTGGCACCTCGATTGCAACTGCTGGTGTATTGCACTGGTCAGTGCGCACAGTCATTACTTGATGCGCGGAGCATCTACGCGTGAAGAGCGGAATGTTTAAGGATGCAAAGGCAATGCTAGCATGCGCTAGAGACTGCAATTCCTGCTTTATGTCAGGTGGGTTTAAGGGAAAAAACTTCAAGCTGCGTTGCAGAACATGTGCTCAGGAACTATCGGCTTCATCGCGCCCGAGGTCTGGACTGGAACGGGTCTTGGCTTGGCGGCAAATGATATTTGGTCCCTTGGGGTGGTCTTCTATGAGCTTCTTGGCGTGCAATGATGTGCAGTGGGCCGGGCGAGTGGCAGTGCCAGCATTCGGCCCACGAACTCCACAGTCGTGAGTCAACCCAGGATGATGTATGGGCGCAAGCCGCCGTTTCACAATGACCGCAGCGGAAAGGCAACGAGGAATTATCAGCCAACGACCGGGGTGACCAATCCTTCATATCGCGTGTGCTTAAGAGATGCCCAAACTCCTGACCGAGAGAATATCAACCATGTTGCGCTTTACCATGCATGGTGCCCCTCCAGGAAGGACAATGCTATTCCGAATCCTGGCAAGCCTATTGATCACTTGATTCAGAGCATGTCTCCTGTCGGCAATCTACACTAGATGGGGTGCCTGGAGCACACGTACTGTTTCTTGTGCGCAAGCTGCTAAAAAGTCCTCATGTTTGGTGGGTATAAGGGCTGGTGGCTTTTCAGGCACCTTTTCGGAACATTTCGAACATGTCTCGCAGCGAACTCCGGAATTACGTGGTCTCCATTCCCAGGCTTAGCCAACTGCCATCGAACCGCCCAACCATACGTGGCCTGCCTTCAACTACTATTGAAACTCGGAGGCACCCAAGCCTACGAGGCAACCTGTTCCGGCCAAACCAATCCGGACAGTTTTTCAGGCACTGCGGAAATTTGTGCTGTTAGACTTTGATGCTGAGCGAGTGCTACATCTCAGGTGGTGTGCAGGACTCTCTTCGCACCATCATCCAGGAAGCCCATCCACGACAAGATGTTCTTGACGCTCAGCTTGCTTGGAGACTGCACAGATGGTGAGCCAAAGTGGCGAACTTTTAGTTGCCAAGGACCTGGCGAGGCAAGTAGCCGTTGAGTAGCCGCTAAGGCTAAGTAGCTATAAGTGGTCAAGGGATGCCAAGAGGGGTCTCAGCTGGCCCTCTCTGTGCTAAAAAGCCATGCGAGTGCGAGTGCGAGTGCGTGTGCGTGTGCGTGTGCGTGTGCGAGTGTGTGTGTGTGTGTGTGTGTGTGTGTGTGTGTGTGTCTGTGTGTGCGTGCGTGCGTGCGTGCGTGCGTGCGTGCGTGCGTGCGTGCGTGCGTGCGTGCGTGCGTGCGTGCGTGCGTGCGTGCGTGCGCGCGTGCGCGTGTGCGTGGGTGCGTGTGTGTGTGCGCGTGTGTGTGCGCGTGTGCGTGTGCGCGTGTGCGTGCGCGTGTGCGTGCGCGTGTGTGTGCGCGTGTGTGTGCGCGTGTGCGTGTGCGTGCGCGTGCGCGTGTGCGTGTGCGTGTGCGTGTGCGTGTGCGTGCGTGTGCGTGTGCGTGTGTGTGTGTGTGTGCACGCATGTGCGAACTGACCGTAAAGAAGTTGATAGTGAAGAAGTGCAGCGCAGATGATGTTAAATTAGTTGCATTTGTTTCAGCAGGTGGCGGGGTGGTGGTTTCAAACACCCAATAAACGCCATCTGCCTGTGCTGGAACAACGGCCTGATTGACCCGGCGCCCTGCTAAGCGAGAGTTAGTTAAGTACAATTTTTAGTCGGGTGTTCAACCAGTGATGCATCTACAGCGCATCCTGTTAAAATCACAGATGCAGCGCGCGCCTGTTTCCAGTTTGAACGTTGCGAGTTCTGGGACAGTTGTTGCTTGGACGACTTGTGACTTCGCACGGGTTGGATGAAGCCGTTCAAGCTTCCCTTGGGGCAGGGTGGTTGTGTCCCTGTCGCTTTTTCCTGTGGTCTTGGCATGCCATTATTGTTTGTCGCTGCTCCTCCTTCAGCACTCATTCTCCTGAACTGGAGAGTTTGCACATCAGCTGTCGCTGCGTGAAAGTCTGATGCTTCAAGCAGTGCTTTCGTTAAGAAACACTAAGGACATGATCACCTTGTCTCCGACGCAGAGAGGCCCGCGGAGATGCGTTCTTAGCGGTCTTAAGGACTACGTTCCGACTTTCTTCAACAAGTCTTGTGAAGCTTCCCTGGTTCATGTTTCTGTTCCGCTTGTTCCCCCGCTTCACCAGAACAGCGAAGTCGAGATTGTTAAGCCACGTGTACCACTACCTGAACGTAACATCGTAACATGCCGAGAAGATAACGGTCCAAGTCCAAAAGGTGCCAAAGACGCTATCCCGCCTTGCCTGCTTCAATACGATGCTCCTCAGCTGCCTGCATGCGAGCCGGAAGAGTTTGCAGCTCAGAAGTCGCCTAAGGACCCAAAGTATATCATAGACATTGGCAACAAGGAAGCTCACCGTATGGATTGTACGGACATGCCCAGGCCATTGTAATTGAGCACTGGCCGTCTACTTGGGCATGTGAACATGCGAAGCATGCGCAGGCAAGCCCAGGGGTACTTTCGGTGCGGCGTATGCGTCGGATGCAACCCATGCTGCAAATGCCGGGTCAAGCGGCGAGATAAGCACCTGGGACGCAGTTGACTCTACCCATCTCAGCCAAGAGACGCTTCTGGTGCCTTCTCGTGATGCTAGCCAGTCACCCGATCTGCTTCCGCTTTGGACTTTGGACTGGGACAGCATATCCTGAGGCTCGAAAAAGCATATTTCCGCACCTTTTCGCCAAACTAGTTTAATACTGTTCTGCAATGAGCACAGCAGCCGGCTCCTGCCAATTAAAGCCATTTTCGGGCCCTATCTGAGGCATGCCAACGTGCGAGTGATTGAAGCAGCTGACGACGACTCTTGCATCGGCGGCAATGACAACAAAACGGTTGCGTCAGATTGTGGAAGTACGATGAAGCACAGCATGTAGCACAGCCTTGCGGACTAACCCATTCCACAGAACACTTCAGTTGTCAGCGTGATGGTGCAGGCAAGAAGTATTTGGATACAGCAGAGAATTGACATGTGAAGGAATGATGTCGGCTATGTAGGCCATGTAGGCTGTAGAAACGCGATTCGAGACCCAGGCCCAGGCATTGCTAAGCCCAAAACTATCATATGTTAAGTGTGGGAATATTGGGAATCTAGGTTCCATGTTCCACCCCATCGGGATGCATAGGACTCACAGCCTGGGCGGCTTGGCTGCAGCTTCGGCGAATGTCGTGGCAGCAGACAAGAAGGCAGGGGAAGAGTCCGTGCAGGTGCTGCAGATGGCACTCTGTGGCAAACTTCGGCTTGCTGTGGCCCGAGTAGACAGGCTGGCAAAGTTGGAACCCCACAGCATTCGGCTCGATCCACAGCGCAGCTTGGCAAACAAGGAGTTGCCGCGTTGTGCACTGGGCACTCTAGAATGAAGGGTATGAATTGGCGATAGGCGTCGCCTCCTGATCGGCATGACCTGGGTCTCGACACCACATTGGCCCGTTATTTCGGCTAGAAGCTAGCAGCGCAAAAATGCTACAAGGTTGCCCGCACTGGGGTTTGAAGCATACCAATGGCCGAGCTGTTGTGCTGTTCTTGGCGTTTGTGTAGATCATGCAAGAGTGCCGTGAAGAACACGTGACACAGGTCTCGGCCGATTAGAGCGAATGTGCCAACAAGGCACGTGGGATATCATTGAAAGCCTGCACCGGATGGCAAACGTGATCCACAATCCTTGCCCACACGTTGTCTTCACAGGAGTCCGCGCCAGGAACAGCTTCAAGCACAGGTGCAACATTGTCGGGCTTTGGCTGTCTGGGGGTCTGGGACTGTTTCCGCATGTTGCCGCTTGCAGGAAAGGTTGCTCGGCCACACACTCCCTCCACAGTGAGGGCTCCGCCAGAGCCTGGTCAGTTTCTTGAAGCAGCTCACAACACATGATCGCCTGAAGAGCTCATTGTGTAAACAACAGTACAGCTAGCAGCGAAGCACAAAAAGGAGCTAAAGCACGCTACTTGCCGTTCACCATTTTGCAGGTGGATTGCCTGGATTTTGTAGCAGGGTGCAAGTTCTTCCACAGTTGAGCCTTGCAAGCACGAACTGCGGAAGCCATTGCGAAGCTACTGAGCTGTTTACAATAAGTTTACAACCTGCCATATGCAGATTCTTCGTGACTTGGACAGGCTCCAAGGAAGCTTTGCACAAATTTCTAATTAGAGCTGAGTCCCTTGCCAAATGTGATGTTTTACAGGTTAGCAGCGCCTGTAGTTTCACTTTGCCCTAATGGGCACCTCCAGCCGAAAGCGGAGCTTGAACTCGTGCCGAGAGACTTGTTGTGAACTGGGTAAATGCACATGCTTCGTCCATAGCTGCGGTGTGCTTTCATATTATTGGGCTATTTGCCTCTTGCTACTATACAATCTTAGATAATGCGGCATCGCAGGAATTAGATATCTTGGAAGGGGTTGATGATATGGATGATATATCCCCCTCTTTAAAAATGCAGAGATCAAAATTAGGAAAGGATACGACCATCAAATTAGGAAGGTATCTCTTGTATATATTTCATGGATTTCGGACGACGATGCACCCTGAAACCCCAATATGATGCCTTGCCAGACTACTTACGTAATTAATATCATATAACACAGGGATGAATGTGTCCATTCCCGGGATGCTGATGCTAGTCCTATAGTGATGGGCGGGGTATTACATGAAATGGTCTTCAAAACGATCTTTCTCATGGACAAGATGTCCATACAAGCCAGGTTGGCTCCGCACCAGATGGTTGTTGGAGTCAAGACCGGGGCTGAGAGTATGATTCACGCGGGATATCTAATGCTTACAATGAGCTCCATCCACATGAGTTTTGGACGATTATTATTCGTATTCCTTGGTCTCGAATATATTCGTGTAATATTATTATGGAAACCTATCATAATTCGTCTATCGGGATAGATTGATGATATCTAATGTGGACAATAGGGTTACGTCTTGATGGGGCCGCTATTTTGCTTTGCTCGGAAGCGCATGTGGTAGACGGCTCGTGAGAGATAGCTGGGAGCGCCCCCCGAATTCGGTTGGCCGGTGAACGGATTGAGGATGATTGATTTCTTCCGAGATTTGGGAATTCGGCTTATTCGAATATTATAAATCTTCATATCGGGTTCATTTTAATTTCTGAAGGAATTCTATTAGGATATATAAAGAATTTCGAAAATAATTTCGTGGGTTTAGAGATATATTATATATAATTCGGAATATTTTGGAAATATTCTAATCTCTCATCTTTGCGATATATAGATAATTATTTTCTTTATTGATTCATTGGGGGT